GAGAAAATGTTCAAATCGTAATTGGATGCATCTGAACAATAAAGTTTTGCCATTTGAATGAATCAGCTGTTAAAGCAATTTATCATGATATAGCTCGGCCCACAATTCCGACCTTTTTGCATATTTATATATAACATTAGTTTATTTCTTTTCTAATATTTTGACACTCTTATCTTTGCCACGTGTTGCCACAAATCTTATCGTCCATTATGTTCGAGAGCTGAAAGTTTTCTAGCTTCTGCTTTTTAGTAGCTCTGCATATCTTTCTCTCTATGAATATTCATACGAAATATTTGTTTATGTTTGTTTATTTTCAATTTGTAAGTCTCTTTCACAGTTTTCAGCACTTTAACAAAAAGCTGCACTTAAATTTTTGTTTGTTTTGTACTAGGAATTTATTTAAATTTCTAATTGAATTCTTATTAAGTGACCTTGTTGCTTCAATTAATTGTATTCCATTATTTAATTGAAACAATCTGCATTTATGAAACGATTTAAAATCATAGATGGAATATGGATTTTTGATTATGAAGATTAAGTCTATAGTTGGGGGCTTATCAGGATGATAAACAGTATTTGGATTCTGCATTTGGATTCTTACCACAAATGCTTAGAGCTGTTTCTTTATTTATAAACAAACCCCATTTATAAGAAGACAGATTTGCAAACTTTACTTCTTCTTGCAAAACTATATAGATCATATCCTGCTCCTTCTACATCCTGATACGCTCAATTATTTGCTCTGTTTAGCCGACTGGGCTATCTTGTCATAAAAGAGTTTGCAAAATACATAATCTTTAGTTGTCCCTCTTTTGAAATACTTTACCAACATCGCCAACAAAAACGCGTGACAGGTCATTGAGCCACAGCCCTACTGACGACATTGCCAACTGCAGACATACATATATATACAAGTATATATATATATATTTATATATCTATATAAATATACAACAACAAGCAACCATATGCAAAAGGAGAAACTGTCAATAAAATATATCGCATAATGTTTTTGTTTTATTTTATTATGCCGCATTTCTTTGGAATTGTATTTTTACTACAACTTTACTTTCTTTTAATTTGTAAACGGTATTTGTCCGCGGCTACTTGACTTGACTTGACTCACATCATCAATGTTTTGGAGTCTTGATGTTGGGGCCGAGAGTTGCACTTGCATACATAGTTTTGAACATGCCACAGATCACGTAGGCCCAGAGCTAGAGGGGACGGCAAGAACATGAAGAGCGCTGCATGAATTAAATGGATGAACGAATGCTTTGAATGAATGGAAACAAATAGGTGAAACGATCAGCGCTATCGGAGCAAAAATTATGAAATATGAATAATACGAATTCAAGAGGAGCATTATTTAATATGAAATACAAACAAATTTGATCAAATATGAATAATAGGAATGACGCGCCAACAAATAATATAACTGTGAGTGTTATGAGTGATATTATTTGAAAAAAAAAGTTATGCGAATGATATGATTGCTTCAAATGAATAATAAATAAACTGAATGGAAATAACTAATCAAATTAATTAAGTAAATGAAATAAATTAAATGCTGAAAACGATTCATTCTATAATAAATAAATACATTTTATTACTAATTGAGATTCTTAGAAAGTTTAATTAAACAATTTTCAAAGGTCACTATTTATCATACTCTTTTTTATTTTTATTAAAACCAAATGCAAATTAAAGTGCGTTTGGAATAGAAATATAAATGGCCACCTTTTCTAATTTGAGTTTAATTTAATAAAATTAAATATTCTCTGCATTTAAAATCATGCATAGAATCTTTATTTGCGTAAAAGGATAAATGAACTTAAATAAATATACATTCTATAAAATATAATAGAAATAGTGTTCCTTATAATTAATTATGCAAAAGCTTACAACTACCAATGGCATATAATTAATTCCATTGCACTATATTTTCCAAAGAATTTTAAATTGTTATTGAATTCAAAATATTTCTTGTTAACTTATTTGCCCAAATTTCTAATAAAATTCATTTAAATGGGCGACCTTAGCAAAGCTTACTAATATTTGCAAATATGAATTGTGTGATGGCAATATTTTTTTAAGCGTTTCCTTTTACTGCCATTCCTTTATAAAATATTAAAAAGTATTATGTAGTGTATTTGTTTGTTGCAAGCTAATCCAGAAATGTGGAAGTTATTTTCATTAAAGTAAACAATGAAATGGAATAAAATGTGCATTGCCAGGCAAATCAAACCCGGACATTGTTGTTGCTGTTGTTGTTGTTGTAGCTACTGCTCCTAGGCACAGGCAAGCAAACAAACGTATTCAGCAGATACTTGGCATGCATGCACCGATTCATAGAGCTGAAGTGTGTGTGTGTGTGTGTGTGTGCGCTTTGTTTGGCGATGTCTCTCTGACTGCATTGACCCCCACTTGAGGACTGACGTCGTTGGCGTGCGCACACATATGCACAGAGACACACACACACACACGCACACCACAGCAACAAACACACAGATACGCGTGCAGAGATACTACAGATACGCACACACGCACTTTTGGTTCGTTGCACTTTTATATTTACTTTGGTTTCATGTGAATAATTTATATTTCATTATTGGGTATTTAGTTTTCTGCTAAAATTAGTCAGTCGAGTTGTTTTCTTATTGCAGCAGCAGGCGACTTAATGCCAGAATAATTAAAGCCAACTGCAAATAAATATCTCTTTCTTAGTTGCGAACTATAATGTTATGTAGAGCGGCCTGATTGTCAGTCCAATTAGCGATCAGTTCAATTAACACGTTAGCATCCTAAAACAGCGACATCAGCCTTGGACTTGTGCAATATTTATAAACCTTCCAATATCAACTATTAGATACACTAGTCCGATACTACGGAATATAATCTGCTGGTTTGCCAGAACAGGTTTCAGAACCATAGGATGATCATTATGTGCCTATACCATATCTTATGTACGCTGCTTATAGACAATTCATTCATTCAAAGAGTATACAAAGAAGTTTTATTCAAAGGAATTATACACTCATTTATGTATAATTCTTGATAAAGATTACAAAACACGCACATTGTAATAGGCTTGTAAAGAAATTGTATAAATGACGTTACTAAAGAGAAAGAGAATCAATCAGATAGCATACTTTCAAATTGTTCCAAAAAACCCAAATAAGATTATAATAATCAAATTATAAAGATAATTCAGCCTTAAATAAATGTTGTATACATTTTTTAATAATGCACAAATATAGATAGTTAAGTAATAAGTATTATTTAGAATCAGAACCAAATCAATTTCATTAGAGAATAAAAACAATATAAAAAAATTGTTAACATAATTTTTATTTTATTTTCCAGACATTGTTATCTTTTGTAATATGTAAAATATGTATTTTATAATCTTTAATTGTGTTCTTATAGTTTTTAAAAAGATATAACAAATGAATTTCATAAAAGATTACAAAAAATATAAAAATATGTTAAAATATGTTATGTATAAATTTATTGTCCAGACATAGTTACTTTTTGTAATATTTAAAATATGTATTTCATAATCTTTAATAGTTTTTAAAAATACATAACAACAAACAAAGCAGCTTTTCCAAATTCTGCAGCTTTTTTGAAGCAGCATTAATGGAATCGTAAATTATCAATATTTAAGTTGTTTATTAGCTTGTAATACTGGAAATAATGCTACGATAGATCCATTAGGAGCGATTTTTTTTGGGTATTTCTGGCTGGATTTATCTCCACTATTCATTCTGGAATTAAAATTCGTCCAAAACTTTGGCATCACATTTAAGCCGGGGCCTGAAAATGATGTTAGAAAAGTATAGACTAGAGCGCACAGCATCTCTTTTCACGGCACACTTAACACCTTGCCTTATCAGCTGGCCAAGAACTTAAGCTTATCAAGTTGTGCTGGACTAGGGGTGGGGGGACTGGCTATGCTAAGTAGTGTCGAGCACCTTGTTTCATTCGCAAGAGTCTACAACGGTATTGTTATTGTTGTTGTTATTATTATTATGACATGAAACAAAAGTCAATGCACCCAAAAAGTAAAAATCACTGTATGAGGCAACTGCACACAATCAAACGCACACACACACACACACAAACGCAAGAGAGAGAGAGGGAGCACGCACATCGTACGTGTGAGTGTGTGTGTGTGTGCGTATTGCCATGTGTTTAGTCTCAGCCCGTCACGCAGCGACAGCGGCCGCCTTCACTGTCACTGTTATCGCCGATATCACAGAGTTGTGTGCGGGGTGGCCGCATTATCATCTTCACCAATACTCTCTCAGACGGTGTTCTCTGTTTTCTTAGCGCATCGGATCGGTCAATGCTTTGGGCGCTCCTCCTCTTCCTCCTCCTCCGCCTGCACCTTCGCCGCCTACTATTCTTAATAATAACAACAACGGCAACAAACCAGAAGTCAATAGCCTCAGCCTCTCTCTCCTCCGCTCCCTCTCCTGCTCGCTCTCATTTTGTGCCTACATTTTGTGTACCTATCAAATTTATTTAAATATTTTCCGTTGTTGTTAGCTGCAGTCGTTGTGTTAAAATGCATTCCGTATTAAGCAACAAATATTAATAAAATCAATAACTGATGCAACGAAAACAATTAACACCAAGAAGAACTTTGTCAGAGTTTCAAGCGTGGGCAACAATGTAAGTTTTCTTCAGTGTTTTAAGGAAAGCAATATCTCCCTAAAAATATAAACAATAGATTAATCAATTAATTAATTTGAAATCAGTAAGTGAAGTATTTACTTCTGATAGTGCTTTATCTCTAAACATTTTCGAGGGCTTTCCCATCCTATCTGCTATTACAACATTCTTTTGAAGCACAATTATCAATCGCTCATAACCTGGGCAAACATTTTATTGATCGTTATATTTTAATATTACATTTTATTTATTTACTTTTCACGAAAAGCAAACTAATAAGCAATTGAATGAATGCATTTCCATTCCCATTTCCATTGCAGAGTCGACGCAACAACTCTGGCGTTTCCTTTTATCAGTGTTGCACAGCAACAACAACACCAACAACTGGCAACAGCATTGCCGCCACAACAACATCTAAAACATCACCAGCAACAACAACAACATCACCAACAACAGCAACAACAACAACAACAGCCCACGATACTGTTGACATTTCAGAATTTAAACGTCTTGCACAACGAACGTAAAATACTTTCCGATGTGAGTGGATTAGTCAGGTAACAACAACAAAAACAACCAACCAACCAACCAACACCATGTAACAACAAAAACAACTACAAATAGTGGCATAATAATAGCTAATCAAAAACAAAAAAAAAGCAAAAAAAGGAAAAAAGAAAGAAAAATTGCGTTGAAAGACGACAAACCCACTGAACTAGTGTGCCAACCAAACTAATATGGCCAACAACTTTTCTTGCTCTCCCCCTCTCTTTTTCTTTCTGTCTATGTCTATGGCTGTGTCTGTGTCTGTCTGTGCGCTCTCCGCCCCCCTCCGTTAGTCCCGGCGAGGTGCTGGCCATCATGGGCCCCTCTGGCAGCGGCAAGACCACATTGCTCGACTGCCTCAGCGGGCAGAGGCGTTTCGATAGCGGCAGCGTTTACCTAAACCGCGAGCCGCTCTCCAAGAAGTGGCGACGAAAGATCGGCTACGTGCTCCAGGAGGAGATCTTCTTCACGCAACTGACGCTGCGCGAGACAGTCATGTACACGGCGCTGTTGCGACTGCCCGAATCGATACCGCGTGCGGAAAAAATGCGTCTGGTGGACCACATACTGGAGACCTTGGAGTTGAGCCTGTGCCAGCAGACGAAGTTCGGAGATTATATGAACCGTGGCCTCTCTGGTGGGGAGAAGAAGCGCGCGAATATTGCGTGTGAGCTGCTGACGAATCCGCTGCTCATGCTCTTGGATGTGAGTACAAATAAAGAGTGTATGAGAAAGAGAGAGACATGCAGAGTGTGAATTTGGCATGCGCTCTTAGCTAAATGCTCTTAATCCAACAATCATACTCTTAGGAGCCCACCTCCGGCCTTGACAGTCACTCGGCCATTTCGCTCATGAAAGTGCTCAAGCGCTATGCGCGCGAAGAACAGAAAACTATAGTGATAACCGTTCATCAGCCCTCGTCCCAGATGTTCCACATGTTCGATAAGCTGCTGCTGCTCCATCAGGGACGTACCGCCTACTTTGGCGAGGTGAACAACATCTATCGCCACTTTGAGGACATTGGCGTGGCCATCAAGCCGCACTACAATCCAGCTGACTTTGTTCGTAAGTACTATATATCCGTATATAGATAATATAATTATTGAGAAATATCGAATTGGGGTTGACACTCTAAAGGGTTTTATTTCTTTTTATACCCTGTACCCGTAGGGTAAAACGGGTATATTAGGTTTGTGCAAAGTATGTAACAGGCAGAAGGAAGCATCTCCGACCCCATTAAGTATATATATTCTGAATCAGCATGTCCGTCCGTCTGTCTGGATGAACGCAAGGATCTCAGCAACTATAAAAGCTGGAATAACCAAAGTTGGCATCCAGATTCTTCTAGGTTCGAGAAAGAACGAGTTTATTTTATTTTTTGGAATTTTAAAAGCTTAAAACTATACCTCATTAGATTGGTAAATACATGATGCTGATGTTGAATATAAATTTAGAATTGCTGTCTATCTAGTCTAGTGCCGAAATAACATCTCAGTTCATTAACAATCAAATGGGTGTACAATTAATAATTCCTTCTCAAATAATTATTAAATAATCTCCCATTAAATAGTTTTCCTCTTGAGTAATGTTTTTCAAACTCGTTCTTGCAGTGGAGCAACTAAAGTCGCATCCGGACATACGCGAGAAACTGTTTATAGCTGCCAAGGAATCGCACGGCAACTATCTAAATCGGAATCATCAGCACAATCACAATCACCATCACAACAGCACGAATGGCGGATCATCTGAGCTGCAGCTGATCAGTGATAAGACGAAGCAACACGACACCATTCTAATCAACGATATAATCAACAACTACTACAATCATCATCAGCACCAATACGAAAATCTACATCACACATCGGGTGGTTGCGAGGCCGAGGAGGCAGCCCAGCACCTGGTTTGGTGCAACGCGGACTCGCAGTCCAATTTCAGTTCCTGCGCCTCCAGCGATTGTCAGTCGTATAGTGCAGGTGGCGGCAGCGGTGGGGATGGCAATCAGGAGTGGTTGGCCTATCCCACGCGCTTCCACACCCAATTCCGGGTGCTATCCAGTCGAAACTTCAAAGAGGCCAAGCCACGCATGCTGTCCAAACTGAATTGGTTCCAAACTATTGGGCTGGCGCTGATGGCGGGCGCCATCTGGTTTCAGCTGCCACGCACCGAAGAATATCTGCATGATCTGCAGGGCTGGATGTTCTTCTCGCAAACCTATTGGATGCTCTTTGCGCTCTTTGGTGCGCTCAATTCATGTGAGTGGGTGATGTATTCAACTTTTTAAGGGACTTACGGACTTACTTATGTCTATCTCTAATTCTACTAAGCCAATCTATTATCTTATTATCTTATTCTTAAACTTAAACATCTTAAACCTTCTTCTTCACTATTCAAATTTCAGAACTTTTAAACTACTCTTTAACTTTAAGCTTTATGCTTAAGCTTTAATAATCTATAGGGGCCATCACTGATATGCTGCTCTACAGACCTCGTTTTTATTTCCCAGAATTATAATAGTTTCATCAAAATTTATTATATTACCATCAACTTGTATAGTTTCCATTCAATTCTTCAACTTTAATCTTTTGAACATTTGAATGGCCTTTTAAATTATCAGAATTTAAATGAACCCCCGGGGGTCCCTAATATTTCGGAGCCTTTAATCCAACTCATATTTTGATTCTTCAGCTCAACATTTTAGCTTTTGTTCTCAACTTTGTTTTGAAGTTTTTTAATTTTCCATTTCACGTTCATAATTTCTTTATTATTTCGTCATTTCAGTCCCCTCGGAGCGCGAGGTTATTAGCAAAGAACGACGCTCGGGCGCATATCGTTTATCCGCCTACTATTTGGCCAAAATGTGTGGGGAGCTGCCCCTAGTTATAACGTTGCCCACCGTCTACCTCATGATAAGCTACCCCATGTTGGGCTGTACCAGGTGAGTGATAATGAGAGATCACCAGAGATAATGATTTTAAGAGATACTTTTGCCTGCAGCTTGAAGTTGTTCTTTTTGATGCTAATTTTTCTGCTGCTGAACACAATTGTGGCGCAAAGCGTGGGCTTCTTCATTGGGGCCTGTTGCATGGACATGAATGTCAGCATCACGCTCAGCGCACTCTACACGCTGGCCACGCAGCTCTTTGGCGGTTACCTTTCGTCACGCATTCCAGAAGGCCTTAGCTGGATACGCTATACGTCGATGATACACTATGCATACCAGAATATGCAAATACTGGAGTTTCGCGAGGGCCCACCCATAAGGTGAGTATTGTGTGGAGCGACAAGTGATGGTTTACAGATCAAGAAGATAAAAAAGAACTGACGGACTCTACTACTTGTAAGCTTTTGAGTGTTAAATAAAATTCAGATGTTAGCCACTGTACGACTGTATGAACCCACTTAACGCGAAAAGTTGTAATGCCAGCGTTACAAAACTTGGTATATAGATGATTTAAAGCATAATTATTATCAAGTTCATTTTGTAAAGAAAAATTATGAATAGAGAGTATGTTATATTTTGTTATCTGAAAAGATCCATCTATGAGTATTTTCATTTCGATGTCTTTGTGGACATATACAAGTAGTATTCTTTCTAAAGAGCTGTTTGTTGATGAAAATCATGGTGTAGGTATGCCAGCACAGACCATTTGTCTCCCAGTATGATTCTCTATTTGTCTGTATGATCGGATTTATCTCAAAAACTATAGGAGCTGAATTGACCAAACTTGCTATGCAGGTTCTTCTAACTAAATTAATTTTAAATCTAAGCATTTCAATAGAAAATTGAACTAACTAAGCTTTATTCTACTTCACAGCTGCGGATCACCCAGTAGCTATGAGATATGCAAACAGCATACTACTAAATTCATTCCATATGAGGAAATACTCAAAGCCCAAAACTCCACATCACCACTCTGGCTAAATACGCTCATACTGATGATGTTCTTTATGGTGTTTCGAGGTCTGGGTTATGCGGTGCTGCGCTATTTGCGTTGCCCCAAAAAGACGTGATATAACAGACAACAACCAGTGATACGTAATTGCAACCCCATATTCGCGATACAACTAACTCGTTACCCCGCTGCCCTCCTCCTCCTCCACCTCAAGCTCTACGCCTACGATCCTTTTCACACGATGAACAAATATTGCCACTGTTGGGCGAAACGCTGTCGCATCCGCGTTGGTCTCCACAATGTGATTTCAAATTATAGCTATGTGGACAGCGACCGTTTATTATTAAAGTTAAATCTAGCAGATATATTATGTATCCACTATTAGAATATGCAAGATACTACACTAAATACACATACGAGTACGAGTATATATGTATTGCCAAAGGCATGCCCGTTTATCTGGCCATGCTCCCAGAATGTTTGTTGCATTGAAAAAGTAAATTTGTTTTTGTTTTAATTCCTTTTACTTGTTAGCCATTTGCATATACTATATACTATATATATATATATAATAATATGTTGGCGCTAACCGATTATTTTATTCATATGATAGAGAGAAAAAATTTATATTTTAATGTAAATTTTAAAAAACAAGCTTGGAATGTTACATCTACAATATATACAAACATACTATATACATACATGTATTTCCTTAATATTCAGCCTATGTATGTATTGTATATTATTTAGAGTTAATGGAATTTATGTATTTCAAATTGCTAATAGATTTCTAGAGTTTATTGCAAATTTTTTTCACTTGGAAAAAACACTGTGATTTAGTATGCTAGTTTTTTAATTAATTTTAAGTGGCATACTTTAAACATATCTATATCTATATACAAGTATATATATATGTATCTATCTATAAACAAATTGTATGAAAATTATGTATTAGCTTATATTAAACATTTGTATTTTGTTTATATTAACTAATTATATATAATTATAGTTATTTAAATATACAAGTACATTGAAAATATGCCGAAAATTCAATGCGAACTTTAAATTGTTTTTTTTTTTTCTGTTAATGGGCACTCCTCTCCGCTTCTCATGTAAAGTAAATAATTTTTTTTAACCAACAACTACTCTGAAGTGCTCCAAAGGATGTTCTACTGTGCTAGAAAGGGTGCTGAATAGTTCTGTGGTTAAGAGCTCTTGTTAAAAATTCATTCTATACATAAATAGATTGATTTCTAAAATTAATTTTCACTCAATTAATTTGAAAATGTTTCTTAAGTAGTTTGCTTTTAAATTCATTTTTGAATTGCACATTGTTTAATGTGCAAAAGTTGATTTATTAAAAGGTTAATATAGAATATATTTCTAATCGATGTAAAAGGTATGAAATATTTTTGAAGAAAGTTTCTAACTCTTAATTCTTAATGCATTCAAGCTTAAAAATATTGCCAACACTCATGTGTCTAAATATTTATACGAGTAAATATTCCTTCCTATTTTAGAAGTTTAAATATATTGAAGCGCTCAAAGTTTGAAATTTGTTAAGAAACGAAATATGATTTCGAATATATATTACGTATTATTCAAAAAATTTAAATTCCCCAATATGGACATCTGAACATTTAATTCTCTAACATAGCATGTGCTTTAAAAAAAAAATCCTTTCTTCAGATGTCAACTAAACACCTAATTCTCCAACATAGACTTTCCCCTGGTTTCTTCTAGAAAGTACCAGAAGAATACAAAGGAAGCCGCTGTAAAGCTCGCGCAAGACCACATCGTTATCGATATGCCCCATTTGGACATGCATATTGGGAAAATGTTGAGCATTAGAAAAATAATGCCACTGCTCAAAAGGATGGCCGCCGAAGTCGCTCTGCTGCGTATCTGAGAAGAAAAGCAGCGCTGGCATTATTAACATCATCTCCAAAAGGTAAGGAAGTGTAAACAAACCTTTGCTGGAAACACCTCGACCAGCAGCATATAGAAACAGCCCACTAGTCCGATGTTGCCCAGAAAGATGTCCAAAGACATGAGCACCAAGGGCAGCCAACTAAATCGATTTAAATCGTATATTTGTGAGTAGTGTGTGAAGAGTCCGAAGGCGGTGAGGCAAAGAGCCACTCCTGCCGAGGATACCAGCATCAGTTTTTTGCGGCCATAAGAATCGCAGAGTAGCGTCGTCACATATGTGCCACATATTTGGACAACGCCTATAACTATGCTGCAGGTATCTGGATCCATGCTCGTGCCCGACTGTGCGAAAATGTTGGACATATAGTTGACGAAAGCAAAGGTGCCGCTGAATTGATTCGCAAGGATCAGCACCACGGCAACTCCATATGCCTTGACAGCGGGCCTGGAGACTGCAATGGCATTATGATTAAATATTTAGGCCTCTTCCATTAAACAGAACTTACCAAAATCCTTGAAAGCTAATTTTTCCTCTTCACTAGACTGTTTGTGGGTCAATGCAATTTTCAAATCGTCAAATTCGCTTACAGAGCTCCCACTTGCAATAAAGTTTTTGCTAACTTTCAAATTTTTATAATATCGAAACGATTTCTCAGCCTCTGCATATTTTCCCTGCTTTATGAGATATTGCGGCGTCTCCGGAATGAAGAGACTGCTGATTAAATAGGTGAGTGGAATGAATATTACAATGGCGGGTATAATATGATATGGCACATGGGTTCCAATAATATAGCCAGATAGAATGCCCAGATTTATCGAAAGCATAACCATTGCAGAGAGCGAGCCGCGTATGCTGCAATAGGAGAGACGAATGAAATAGAAGCGATATAATAAAAATATTATAAAATAATATAAAAATCATGTATATAAGAATAGTCCCCGGTAGTGACAAAAACACAGTACATAATGAAAACTGCTTTAAATAGAAACTAAAACAATGCCTTCCTAACTAGTTTTTGACAATTCCAGCTTCAACACTCAAGAGTTTTTTGATTCACAATAGTTATCTGATGTAATAACATCATAATCATCTGATATTCATCATAGAATTACTATGTAGATTAAACTTATTATATTTATTATTAGTCATTAGTTGTGGACATTATTTGCTTTAAAGTTAAAAGCTAGTATTCAGAATATATTCTAAAACCAATTTGAAGATAATTCCTTCGCTATTACTTAGTTTTAGACAAGATTTTACTTCAAGCTGATTCCTATTTATAATAAAAGGGTATACAACGATTTCTTCACCGAAACAATATAAAACAACTTCATCACTAGCTTTAGATTATATTTAAAAATAAAAAGCTGTGAAAAAGGTTATGCTTTACAAATAGTTTATAGCAGCATCAGTATACCCTATAACAGTATTACTTCGTCACTAGTTTTATTCACAATGACTTCATGCAATAAAGCACAATTGCATCTCAACTGTAGATTTCGTCAATATTGTGGAAAGAGTTTATTTGCATACCAAGTAGTTAGTTATGTTTACAAATTAGAAGCTTTGTTTGAATTGCGCACAATTCCTAGATCTATTTTATTTCTGTTGCCAACTCATTTGTTTACTAGAAGTTATCAAGTGACACTACAAAGCAAATATTGTCGACTCGCTATCACAATGAAAGCCAAGCGCGGCGAAATTTATGCGATACGAGTGTGCCTAGCTGTCGTCCGACCGGTAAATCAAGAGAGCCCTTAACTCTTGCCACTTACCGAGAATCTGCGATTTCGCTGATGAAAATCGGATGAACAATAAACATGCCCCCACTACTAACGCCGGCCAAGAAGCGTGCCGCGTACAGATACTCGACAGTGGGCGCAAAGAAGATCAACACCCAGAAGCACTACAAAGGAACAAATGTTAGAAGCTCTGCAAATATTTGAAACTACTTCGACCAGTTACCGTATGTGGCAGACCAACCAGTAAGAGGCGGATTTTGTGTCCCAAACGCTCCAGAAAGCTGGCAGTGAGTATGGTGCCCAGTATGCTGCCCAGACCTATTGCCGAACCGATCCAAGAGACTTCATAAATGTCCACCGCAAAGCTCAATGGCGTCTGCTCCGGAGACTGCAGCTTGCGGAGCGTTGGCGACAACCAGCCCAGGCCAATGCCATGTGCGATGGGCAACAAGCTAACTGAACAAAGCTTAGTTATCCACTTCGATGAACAGCCTTCCGTCGAGCAGCTGCTTCTTAAAGTAACTCACCCAGTAACGTTGTCAGAAATTGGAAACGATTTCTGCTACTCAGCAGACAATTAGGCCGCTGCAGCAGATGTCTCAACATTATAGAATGGTTTGTTAATATTTCCTACAAATACTAGTTGTTTCTGCGCTCGATTTGTATTTATTTGCCACTTTTCAGTCTTACATTGCTCACATCAAAATGCACGAAGTATGGCTGGCAAGCAACTTAAATATGGTTTCTGGCCAGATATTAGGCACTCGCTATCTTACAGATAAAGATAAGCTCTTTAGCTCTAGCACTACTTATACTACAAATCTAAGTCGCACTAGGCGTTCCCATGGTTAGGCATCCACTAGCAAAGATTTCCCTTTAGTTTCTTCTAGAAAGTAGCTAAAATAGGCGAAGGCACACAGAGCCACGCCACCACAGCACCACATCGTCACAGATATGCCCCAATAGGCCATGCAGAGGGGAAAGATTTTCAGAGCGACGAACACTGCACAGCTGAGACAAGCAATGAAGAAGGAAACGGCAACAGAACGTATCTGGGCAGAAGAAAAAGAAATTCGCAGATTAGAAGACAAGCTTTTTAGTTGATGTAGAGAAGAGATGTTCTATTAAATTTAGCACTTATTTTGTTTTTGGATCAATAGAGCTATAGAGCCTAGCCTGGCAGGGGTATTGCTTTCTTTGAGCCTTTTTCTTTCTTTAAGACGTCGCTATGTTGATAGAGTTTTGAGTAAGATTCTTCTTTGAAATAAAAGATGTTTTCTTATACATAATCTATCTATTGAGTAATCCACTTTGGTTTACTTACTGGGATCTTCTATTATAATGCGCTTCGAAGCTCATTAATTTAAATGAACTCGATTAATGAATTCTATTCAATATTCCTGCACAAACGCCAGTAGGTTGGTAGAGTTTTGAATTCTACAAAATTCTTCCTTAGAAACTATCCATCTTTGTATTTAATTCTACAAAATTCTTCCTTAGAAACTATCCATCTTTGTATTTAAATAAATGAGTTATATTCAATATTTAAGAACTTCCGCGAGATAATCTTGGTTATATAAACCACTTACACCAGCGATTTGCATTACCTTGGCCGGAAACAATTCCACCATCACTACAAAGACACAGCCAACCAGACCCATAGTGCCCAGAAATATGTCCAAGGCCAGCAGCAATAGAGGCAGCCAACCAACAGCGGAGACATCGTGATTCGGATCGGAGGCATAATACGTGAACGCCCCGAATGCCGCTAGACTAATGGCCGAGCCCATAGAGGATATCATCAATAGAATCTTTCAACCATATCTGTCGCAAAATAATGTGGTTGCATAGTTTCCTAGAATTTGCACCACACCGACAACAATGGTGCAGGTATTCGCGTTTAGAGTCGTATGGGACTTGGCGAAGATGTCGGAGAGGTAGCTGGTGAAGCAGAAGAGTCCACTGAATTGGTTCGCCAGCAGCAAAACGATGGCCGAACCATATGCCTTGAACGCGGCTCTGGTAACTACACAAGGGAGAACTCGATGGCTAAGGAACATAATCGTTCTATAAACTCACCAAAATCCTTGTAACTAAGGGACTCTGACTCCACAGTAAGTTCTTTTGTGGAGCTTAGTTTATAAAAATCATCCATTTCGTTGCTGTCATTAGCGTTGATATTCTTGTAGAATCGAAAGGATTTTTCTGCTGCCGCGTATTTTCCTTTCCTGATGAGATGGATGGGCGATTCAGGAATGAAGAGATTGCATATGAAGAATCCTATGGGCAGCATTACGAAACAAAACGGCGCAATTAAGTAGGCCACATGTGTGGAGACTATATAGCCAGTTAAGACGCCCATGTTGACGGACAACATGATCATGGAACCGAGGGAGCCTCGTATGCTGTAAAAAGTCAGAAGCTCATAAAACAAAGTCCAAAGTCCAACTCACTTGGTATTCGCAATCTCGCTCACAAATAGGGGCACCACGATATAGAAGCCACCGCCAGTTATTCCAGCCAATAGGCGACCCGCATATAAATACTCGACGCCAGCGGCAAATTCTACCAAAAGCCAGAAGCACTGCAGGAAAAATCAATAAAAAAAAGGAATGTAATCGAGAATAAACAATACTTCAGACTGCTTGCCGTATGTGGAATGGCCACAGCGAGCAGGACCAGCTTGCGTCCTAGCCGATCCTGCAGCGAGCCCGCCAGTATATTGCCAATCACACTGCCAATGCCCAGCACGGAGCCCACCCAGGACACTTCCTCGACGAACACCGCAAAGTCGAACGGGGACGCCTCCGTTTTGAGATCACGCATCAGCGGCGACATCCAACCAATGCCCACGCCATGCGAAAACGTTATGATATTGACTTTAAACGGATTACAAATTCAAATCGGATAATATGTGTGCCAGTCCTGCCACCTACTTAGCAGTGTTACCGCAAATTGATTGCGATTCCTGCGATTAAGCACACAATTCGGATTCTGAAGCACTTCTCTTAGTTTAAGGCACAGCATCGTGCTCTACGACTTGTTCTCAAAGCAGCCAACAGCAAACTGTGAGACAAGTCCGATTTCAGCGGCATTATACACCTGATTTCCTGTTACATCAAAAGCTATCTAAATTGCTCTAGATTATCAGATGCTAGTAGTTTTATTGCAATTTCCGTTAGAGTGCAGTTCCCTTGAATTGGGCTTTTGTCACATTAGCTAAAATTTGTATTATGCATGAACAGTCATGATCCAGATATGCTGAGTAGCACTCCCAAGCTCTTGAATAGGACTGGAATTCTCCGGTTAGTTCGCACTCCTTCCAGATTGGGAAAAACTCTTAGCAACGAGGGAGACTCTAAAAATTACGAAGAGTTTCCCTTTAATAATAGATTATGTCTCTCAAGCATCTTTAGATATAGAAAAGGAATGAACAAAGTAGTTAGCGCTAATGATCCTCTCGAAGCCAGTTAAGTCAAAAATCAGACCTCTCTAAATGTCCCAAACACTTTCTTCTTTCAATGTTGGGGTTTCTGACGGACCAAAAATAGATTCATTCTTTAAAGATTGCCAATCTACCGAACTTCCCATCTACTTTCTTAGAAAAACATGTTCTGTTGGCACATCTCTCGCAATCAAGGCAAAATTTGCCTGAATTTTCGACATATCGGTATTTATTAATTGCATTTTTGTTTTGCTTATTACACAAATGTTTAAATAAAATTTATAATTTTCTCAAATTGGCCGCGAATCACAATTTTGTATACACCATCCAAGAATAGCTACTCTCTCAGCAAACTCCAATTGGCTTAAAGTTTCAAGAATCCAACATGGATTTGCCCTTTGTCTCCTCTAGGAAGCGACTGAAATAGAGAAAAGCTAACAAAGCCACTGCTCCGCAGCACCACATCGTCACTGAGATGCCTAACTGAACCATAAAGACGGGGAAGATTTTCAAAGCGACGAACACCAAGCAGCTGGAAATCACTACGAAAAAGGATAGAGCCACGGATCGTATCTGGAAAAAAAGGTCTAATACGAATTTCGAAAGCATTTGAATGAAACACTCACCTTTGCTGGAAAGATTTCGACCAGCACTACAAAGAAACAGCCCACAAGTCCGATATTTCCAATGAAGATATCCAACGAGAGCAGCAACAAAGGCAACCAACCCACGGCGCTGACGTCATTGTTGGGATTGGATGCATAGTAGGTGTAGGAGCCGAAGGCTCCCAAGCATATCGCAGAGCCAAGGCAAGACACCAGCAGCAATATTTTGCGGCCGTATTTATCACAGAGCATTGTGGTCATACAGAGACCAAGAACCTGTACTATTCCGACCACAATTGTACAGATATCCGCGTGAAGGGTGGAGTGCGAGGCGGCGAAAATGTCGGTCATGTAGTTGGTGAAGCAAAAGAGACCAGTCAGCTGGTTCGCCAGCAGCAGGACAATGGCCGAGCCATAGGCCTTGAAAGCAGGCTTGGTAACTGCGAGATAGACAACAAAAATAAACAACATTATGGCTTAGTTATGAGAACCCTCAGCATATTACCAAAGTCCTTGCAGCTAACAGACTTGTCCTCCAACTTCTGCTCTTTGGTTAACTTCATCCGCAAGTCATCGAACTCGATGAGTCCAGTGCTGTCGCTGGCTTTCAAATTTTTGTAGAAACAAAAGGATTTCTCAGCCGCCGCGTATTTTCCCCTGCGTATGAGGAAGTGGGGTGTTTCAGGGAAGAAGAAGTTGCATATGAAATAGGAAATGGGCAGTGCCAGCACACACATCGGAACCGTGCTATATGGCACATAAATGGATATGATATAGCCACATAGGACTCCGATATTCACAGACAATAAAATCATGGAACCCAGGGTGCCGCGTATGCTGTAAATATAGAAAACAGAGGTTACATTTTCTCCATTTCATATAAAACAGAGGTTAAATTTTCTCCCTTTCCGATATCTACGCTTAACTCACTTTGCGTCTGCTATTTCGCTGATAAATAATGGCAGGACTAAATAGCCTCCACCGCCCGAAATGCCGGCTAAAAGCCGACCCAAGTACAAGTACTCCACGCTCTGCGCATAAAAGCTCAAGACCCAAAAGCACTGTGCAATGAAATTGTTGGAGAACGTATTTAATTAATTATAATAAATAAATAATATTAACTTACCGAATGTGGTATGGCAATAGCGAACATCACAAGCTTACGGCCAACGCGATCCTGCGCAAGGCCAACCAAAATATTGCCAATGACGCTGCCAACGCCCAGCAACGAGCCGATCCAGGACACCTCCTCTATGACAGCGCGAAAGCTGAGGGGCGTCTCATCAGTCTGAAGATTTCGCATCACCGGCGACATCCAACCCACGCCGAGGCCATGAGAGAAGGTCTGTATGTTAACTAAAGGATAATGGTATAAGCACCCTTCAGCAGCGTTACCAAAAGCTGATAACGATTTCTGCTGTTCAGCAGACAGTCGGGGTATTGGAAAACTTTCCGCAAATGAAAGAACATTTTGAACATTCCGAATCAACCTGTTCTTCCCATAACTGCCGCCAGCGAAATGCAATGCGAATCAGCCTATATTAGGCTTAGACGCGCATTTATCTCCATAAGTGAGATAAGTCCAGAGATATATTACATCTTAAGATAGCATATTTGCATATAACATGTCTTATAGGAATAAATTATAGGTTCCATTCTATAAATCATATTAACAAAGCACTGCTAGGGCAGGTCTGTAGTCTATTCGAAATTAGATAAAGTTTCTCTGGTGAATTGGAATACTCGCACGAGTCATCTAACTAAAGAAAAAGTGTTTGTAAACAAGTGGAAAGACGTTGCCCTCACTATAGTCTACGAGCTTTCATTTATCATCAAAATATAGCAGTTAATTGTTCATTCTTTCAATGCCATAATGCGGGTCAAGAGCATACGCTAGTGGCGAAAGAACAACTTCGTAGGGCCAGCTGCCATCCTTTTCGTTTATAAATCCGAGGAAACTGCTTAACTACCATAGCGATGTTTATGCTTAAAAGGGTTAAACGCTTTTAAATACATTTTAAATAAATAATACTAATGTATTTTAGAATATAATTCAAGGAAACTTAAACTTATAAACGTTTAAGCACTTTGTATTAATCAACCAAATTCCTCAGAGCTTGGTTTGAACAAACTCTGACGAATTTGTAAAAAGAAACAAATCTTATTTAAAATAGCATTTTCATATTTTCTAAATGGTTTTCTCACCACGACCTAATATACAAGTACATATATTACAAGATCTAGCTAGCTATATGAGCATTACGATTACGAGTCCAGCAAGGACTTGCCCTTTGTCTCCTCGAGGAAGCGACTGAAATACAGGAAGGCAAGGAAAGTCATTCCGCCGCAGCACCACATAGTCACTGAGATTCCAAGCTGCACCATTAAAACCGGAAAGATTTTCAATGACACGAAAATTAGGATACTGAGCTGCACAATAAAAAATGGCAAAGCCACAGAGCGTATCTGTAAAGGAAAACACAAGGAATAGAGAACATTCGAGTCGTGAGTTCGGTTGCAAAGGAATACTTACCTTGGCAGGAAGTAGCTCGACCATCACTACAAAGAAACAGCCCACAAGTCCGATATTTCCAATGAAAATAACCAACGAGAGCAGCAACAAAGGCAACCAACCCACAGCGCTGACGTCATTGTTGGGATTGGATGCAAAGTAGGTGTACGTGCCGAAGGCTCCCAAGCATATCGCAGAGCCAAGAGAAGACACCAGCAGGAGAATCTTGCGTCCATATTTATCACAGAGGAGGGTGGCCATATAGTTGCCCAATATTTGTACCGCCCCCACCACAATAGTGCAAATATTTACGTCCAGTGAGGAGTGCGAGGCGGCGAAAATGTCGGTCATGTAGTTGGTGAAGCAGAAGAGTCCACTTAGCTGATTCGCCATCAGCAGGACAACGGCCGAGCCATAGGCCTTGATGGCGGGCTTGGTAACTGAAAAAACAACAAAGAAAGGTAGAGCTATGATTGAGTTATGAGAGCATCCAATATATGTTACCAAAGTCCTTGTAGGTAAGAGTCTTGTCCTCCAAGCTTTGCTCTTTTGTTAGCTTCGTCCTTAAATCATCGAACTCATTAAGGCCGTTGACATCGCTGGCCCTAATATTCTTATAGAAACGAAAAGATCTCTCAGCGGCCGCGTATCTGCCCTTTTGAATGAGATGATGTGGGGTTTCGGGCAGGAAGAGGTTGCAAATGAAGTAGCATGTGGGCAGTGCCAGCACACAAAAAGGAACTATATAGTATGGCGCATATATGGAAATGATATAGCCACTTAACACGCCCATATTCACGGACAACAAGATCGTAGAAGAGAGCGTGCCTCTTATGCTGCGCACGATAAAGAAATCTAGAGTTCTTGTCAAATAATAAGTGAGCTCTACTTACTTGGTGTCTGATATTTCGCTGATAAATAAGGGCAGCACTATATAGCCGCCACCGCCCGAAATGCCAGCTAATAGCCTACCCACATAGAAATACTCCACGCTCTGCGCAAAATAACTCAAAAGCCAGAAACACTGTGAAGAGAGTATTAAATTAAACTCAAAACGAGATATTTTGTTGCCTCACCGAATGCGGAATGGCTATGGCAAACATTACTGGCTTCCGTCCCACCCGATTTTGAAGCACACCCGCCGCTATATTGCCAATAACACTGCCGATGCCCAGCAACGAGCCGATCCAGGACACCTCCTCTATGACAGCGCGGAAGCTGAGTGGCGTATCATCAGTCTGAAGCTTTCGCATCACCGGAGACATCCAACCCACGCCGAGACCATGCGAGAAGGTCATGATATTAACTGCAAGTGTGTGGCATTAGAATATAGTTTTTAGTCAGCTCTGCAACTTACCAAGCAGCGTTACCAGTAGCTGATAACGATGTCTACTGTTCAGCAGGGAGTCTGGGCTTTGAAAACATTTTCGCAGATCGAACAACATTTTAGGAAAGTCTGCTTCCAATTTCTCAAGCTGCTGCCCACTAACTAAAACAAAATTCAGTTAAGTTGTGAGCAGGAGCTGGTGTTACTTTTCTCCGTGCATTTATCTTAATTAGATAGAGATTACATTAAGCATAAAATGTTGGCAAAAGTTCTTATCTGCGCAACTGTTGGCAGAACTACAAGTCATGGTAAGTACAAGTACATGTTATCTATCGGAATGAGTTACAAAGCTTTGCAAGATTTCGGCATTCAACGAATACGAAACTGCTTTGGAGACTAATTATGATTTGGCAGCTACATTACAGCAGAATTCGATTTTAATTGTTAAACTCGTAGGATTTTAATTTCTAATGCAGACGTTAACAAAGAGAGGGCTGCCAAATGGACTTAAATTATTTAGTAAGTCTTGTTGCTTTTTTCTTCAAAATATTTCACATCAAGATCCAATCAGCCTAAATTCATATTTTAATTTTGGAAAAAATATAAAATCTAAGAGCAACTATTTGAAAAGTGGACTCATTTCATACATTCTTAAAGGTTTATAGATTTGTGAGAAAGAGAGATTGATGGTTTAATATATTAAATAAATAGTACATCAAATAAATAAATGGAATAATTAACCAAAACGAGCTGCTCACACATCCAGGCTAGGCATCCTCCAGGCACTTGCCCTTGGTCTCCTCCAAGAAATAGCTGAAATAGAGAAAGCCAAACAGCGACACTGCGCTGCAGGACCACATCGTCAGCGAGATGCCCCAATATGCCAGACAAAGCGGGAATATTTTCAAGGTGACGAAAACCAAGCCACTGAGACACACCACAAACACCGATAAAGAGACGGAACGTATCTGCGAAAGACATTTCAGACAATTGCACTCCCAAAGGCCTGCATGATTACCTTTGCAGGAAACAGCTCGACCATTAGCACAACACTGCAGCCCACCAGTCCCATGCTGCCCAGAAAAATGTCCAACGACAGCAACATTAGAGGCAACCAACCGGTTCCAGCCACATCATGGCTAGCATCGTCCGCGTAGTGGGTGAAGCAGCCGAAGGCGGCCAAGCTGGCTGCACAGCCCAGACAGGAGACCAACAATAGAATTTTGCGACCGTACTTATCGCAGAGCAGGGTTGTTGTATAGTTTCCCATAATCTGCACCACTCCCACGACAATAGTGCACGCATTTGCATTGAGGCTCGTGTGAGAGGCTGCAAAGACGTCGGCCAAGTAGCTGGTGATGCAGAAAATGCCGCTGAACTGATAGGTCAGCAGCAAAACAATGGCCGTGCCGTAAGCCTTCAAAGCCTGTCCGGTAGCTGCACAACTTTAAATTCTTCATGGCTTTCAAAACGAACGCACCACAACTCACCAAAGTCTTTAAGGTTGAGGGAGTTGGCCGTCGAGCTTAGATGCTGCTCTTTGGTTAGCTTTGACTTTAATTCCTCGAATTCAATTGCTGCGCTGCCGTCATTAGCTCCGAAATTCTTATAGTAGCGATATGATTTCTCCGCTGCCTCATGCCTGCCCTTGCGTATGAGATAATGGGGTGTTTCGGGGAACAGGAAGTTGCAGAGCAAGTAGCAGGTGGGCAGTGCCAGAATGCAGAATGGAGCGCTCAAGTAGGACACATTGGTGGCAATAATATAGCCAGCCAAGACGCCCATGTTGACGGACAACATGGTCGTGGAGCCTAGTGTGCCGCGTATGCTGTAAAAAGGTAATCCAATTGAAAGAAACTTCCATTTATTGCCAGTACTTTCAACTTACTTTGCGTCCGCAATTTCGCTGATAAAGATGGGAAGTGCTATGTAGCTCCCGCCGCCGGAAATGCCTGCCAACAAACGGCCCACATACAAATATTCAACGCTTTGGGCATAGTATGTCAGCAGCCAAAAGCCCTAAAGTCTTAACAATTATTGGATGCCGGTCTCTCAGCTTGTGGTACGTACATACCGTATGGGGTATGGCCAAGATATACATAACCAGCTTCCGACCTATGCGATCGTGCAGCACACCCACCAGTATATTGCCAATAATGCTGCCTATGCCCAGCACTGAACCGACCCAGGACAGCTCCTCCACAACCACCGCGAAGTCAAATGGCGAGTTCTCGGTTCGCAGATCACGCATTACGGGCGACATCCAGCCCACTCCAATGCCATGCGAGAAGGTCAGTATGTTGACTGAAAATTTGCAAAGTCTATTTTACTTTCTAGGCGCTCTCTTAAAACTTTTTCCGTAGCTCACTCAGCAGCGCCACCAGCAGTTGATGGCGATTTCGACGATTCAGCACACTATTCGGATTCTGAAACACTCGACTGAAGTTGAACTTCATTTTTGAATGAATTAATTATAATTTCGTTTAATTTAATTTTTCTGGCAGCCAAACATTGCAATGCTTCTCCCTCAGCTGCTACGGCGAAACTATTTTAGACCCGAGAGCCAACAGGTTTCTTGGCCTACACGTGAGCTAAGCGGCTGAAAGTAAACAACAACAGCAACAACAAACCAAAACGAAAAAAGAAACGCGTTTCAATACACAAATATTTGTACCAGAGGGCGGCTCAAGCTCTCTTAGAGCTTTTTATGAGCAGCTCAAAGTGAAGTGAAAACCTTTCAAAAAAAATTATTACCACAAACAATTAGCACCTATAGTATTGTATATATGTTTGAACTAGCAGACGATGCAGAAATCAAATTAATTTATAATTCGCTCTTTGCTCACAATACTTAGCTCTCCTCGCTTGTGTTGTCTGTAAAAGTTGTTCTTAGGTTTTCGTAGAAAGACTTATCTCATTGCAATTACTTGTATGTATGTTCGATGCTACTTAGACGACCTCGGGCCGATATGATATCAGACCCCATAAGGTATATGAATTATAGGCTAGTATGTCGTCGTCTGTCTCTAGTTCTAAAATTATTATTTTCCTCTTTCTTCTTTATCGAACAACCATAGCTACTCAACGGAAAGTCTATATTTAGATTTTAATTAACATTTTTTTTAATTTTTGAAGTTAGATTTTAATTAATATATTATCATTAGAGTCCTGTATTTGCCACACTTATAATTCAAAATTTTAATTATTTAGAAAATTAAATTGATATCTTTGTTTGTGCTGAGAAATATTTAAAATTAGTTGAGATATTTAGAGATGAATGCCAAAACATGACTGACTTCTTGATAAGATTAAAACAAATATTCCTTTTACAGTTTAATTGGGAAATATTAAACAAAATCGTAAACAAAAACAAAGTTATTTGAAAAAAAAAAACATGTATCGTAAGCCTTTTTTTGGGGAGGTACTTCAAGCAAATCTATTGAGTTAAAAAATTAATTTCGAAATTACATTCCAGATATAAATATAAACCTTAAAACTACACTGCTTAATCTTTTTTTATGTACATATGTAGTTTGCAGTTCATTGAGATAAAATGTATATTTTTATTTATTAAATAAATACACTTAACATAAACTTAAAGCTTACAACACAAATTTGATATTAAACTCTTAGAAATTACTGAATATAATAACTAATCCTGAACCATAGATTTGCCTTTGGTTTCGGGCAGGTAGAACAGGAAGTATACAAATGTTACAAGACTAGCGGCGGCTGAGAACCACATGGTTATCGAAATGCCAGCGTAGTGCATCAATAGTGGAAAAAGCTTCAGCGTGCAGAAAACAAGGACACTAAGAAACACCACCGATATGGAGGTGGCCAAGGAACGTATCTAAAAGAAGAAGAAGAAGTTAAAAAGATTTACTCTCGACTCCAGACAGTGCTGCTACCTTGACTGGAAAGAGTTCCACCAGCACCACAAAGAACAGTCCAATGAGTCCGATGTTGCCCAAATAAATAATTAGCACCATCAACACCAGGGGCAGCCAATTGAAAGCCGTCAGATCCTGGCGCTGCGCAAAATATGTGAAGCACCCAAAGGCAATACAGCCCAGGCCCAGACCCAGGGTCGAGATGAGCATGAGTATGCGACGTCCTATAATATCCACAAGGATGGTTGAGGTATAGACGCCAACAATCTGTACGACGCCAATAATAATCGTGCAGGTGTTGACATCCCAAACAGAGCCGGAGGCAGCGAATATGGTCGACATATAGTTGATGAAGCTGAAGGTGCCGCTGAATTGATAGCCCAGGCAGAGCACAGTGGCAGCGGCGAAGGCCTTCAAAGCTGGCTTCGTAACTATAAACAGATTACAGTTATTGGCAATTAGCTTAATCATCCAATCATGCAAGTGATAAACGAATAGTCAAGTCAATAAAAACCACTCCTATGTATATTTTTAGCTATGTTTCCATTTCTTCAACCTTTTTTTGAATATATTTCAACTCACCGAGATCTCGCCAAGTCAGGGCCGTGTTGTTCAGCACTTGCTGCTTAGCTATTGCTATGCATAGTTCCTCAAAATCAGCTTTATAGCTATATGTCTGTGCTGGCTGCACATTGCTATAATATTGGTAGGATTTATCTGCGGACGTTACGTTGTTTCGCTTCAGCAAATATGGCGCCGTTTCGGGCAGCAACAAGTTAGCCAAAAAGTATGCTATGGGCAACAATATCGCCAGAAATGGGATCAGATGATAGGCCAGATAGGTGCTCATCACGTAGCCCACAAGTATGCCAAAGTTAACCGATAGCATCAACATTGATGTAAGCGAGCCGCGTATTCTATAATTTCAAAATTAGTGCCTTCTGCTCGCAGTTTAAAATATGATCGCATGCTTACTTGCTGTCCGCTATTTCGCTTATGAAAATAGGCACCACCACGTATCCCGCACCACCGGTGAAGCCACAGAGAAAACGCGCAGCATATAAATAACCAACATTCGAAGCAAAATAAATCAAAATCCACAAGCACTGAAAGAAAGTATATTTAGTTAATCTTATGTGTTGACTTTTGAGAACATCAGAAAAAGTAATCAAGGTATCTCTGTAGTAAATACGTGATTAAAAATTGTGTCTCTATAACGCATATACATCGAACAAATGTTGTATTACAATTTCAAAGTACATGAGTCACGATTTTCAGTTATTCTGAACATTAAAGTCTCCAATTCAAGTACGTTTTAAGACTTTATAGTTAGTGTTAGTTAGTATAGCTCGGCCGGAAAATATATTACTATTTAATATTTTCATCAAGTTTTTGTGTTATTGTGAATATTTGTGAAAGGCAATCCTTTCACGAATTCCACGCAAACTTTGGTACGTTAATGAGGAAACAGTTTTCTGGCATTTCAGCGAGCAATTAACCATTCAGTGCCATTTGGAGAGCCATCTTAAAAGGGTAAGTAATGGCTTCGATACTAATTGCGATGTAATTTTTGCAAGTTTTTAAAAATTGTGACATTATTTTGCTTTTTAAAGACAATTTTTCGTTTATATTTTGTATTTATCTTGGAGTTGAGTTGTGCATTGATTCTCAAGAATTCGTTTGCATTATTTTGGTTTTATTTTTAGAAGTATTTTCAATTATTTGAGTTTGGCTTGAGTGACAATATAGAACTGCCTTGTTGACTGCTATCAATTGCCTTTACTTGCAATAGTTTTTAATTCAATTTTCCGCACCTCAGCCAAATGTAGCACTCAAATATGAGTCTATTATTGCATTAGTCATTTCACTTACCGCATAAGGACCAGCCATGAGGTAGAGGCAAAATTTTCTGCCCATACGTTCCAGCAGCAGAGCAATCGTTAAATTGCCGCACAAGCTGCCCAGACCCAGCATGGAGCCGAGCCAGGATATTTCATCGATGCCCACTTGAAAAGCTAGTGGTGTTTGTGTCTGGTGTTTGTATTTTGGCCAACGTGGGCGAAAGCCAACCCACGCCCACTCCATGGCCGAATGTGATGATATTAACTTAAGTGCGAAAACTGCGTATTATTTCCGGAATGCTGTCTGATTGCTGGCCAAGTGCTTACCTATTATTGTAGCCAATAATTGGTAGCGCGTCTTGACCTGTAGTAGGGAATTGGCGTTGCTTGGAAATAATTTCATATTCAGAACGACTTGCAAGTTCAAGTGTACGATCAGAAATGTGGGCCTGCCTATTTGTAGCAATTCGTTTTGATTTCAGCGAAGTAAACTAAATTTGGATCTTTATTAGCACAGATATAAGCGTTCGTTTTATTGGCTTTTAATGTTTGTGTGAGACGCCAACTGGGGGATCTAACTTATCATTCTTACACAAAACAACCCGACCACGTCTGCAGATAGCGGGGCTGGTGTGCAAACCACTCGCAGGCACTGCAATCAGTTTTTATATTTTAACAATATTTTTCTTGTCTGAGCTCTAGATAAATGTTATCCATTTGTTTGAATTTCACAAGACACACTCTTAATTACACTGCTTAACTTAGCCACACCCTAAGAACAAATATACTGCAAAAAGGAGGCTCGTCTTTATGCCTTATGTGTGAACATTATTTATTTTCCAAGCAATTCAAGTGCACCTCAATGCTTCAACTATGCTATTTGTTGCTAAGTGAAATATTCCGCACTCGCTAAAATGCCCTCGCAGTGATGTTTTTTCAAAATACGACATATTTACGATAACATTCCGCAAACTGAAGGCCAACTTGTTTCTATATGGGTCTGCCCATGCCTACCCACCCGCTGTACATTCGCTTTATGTAGTCCGATAATATTTTCTTTAGGCTATTTACTATATTTATTATAACTACCAAAAAGCAATTTCAGTTCCATTACGATTTGAACATTATTATTAAATTGGCCCTTGCAGTTTTGTAGACAGGACTCGACCGGAGAGGTCAAATTATGCATTCATTTAAACTGCAAATAATGTATTTCTTCATTACCGAAACCGTATCAAAACAAGTACTAACTGGCACACAGAAATAGTTTTGTTTTTCATTGAAAAGAAGAAAATTCAGATCGATCTAAGCCTGAAGATTTCAAAATTTAAATAAAGTATAGCATACTTTTGGGAGCCCAGTGAATTGCATTCATCTCTTTTATTATAGTTTTATTTCTCTTATTGATTATTGCATATTAACAGAATCGCAGTTAAATTTAACATTTTCTTTAAAATAATACTATTTACAAAGTTGCCTTCTTTCCTTTTTTCGTGATAATACTATTTACACAGTTGCCTTCCCATTATTACATGCTGTCCAAAATGGTTTCAATTGACTTGCCCTTAGTTTCGGGCACAAAGATGGCTATAAACAGACCGCTGGCAAACGCACCAACTGCAAACAAAAACACAGTGCCATGCATACCCAGGGATTCAGAAAAAATAGGAAGTGACTGCACAAAGAAAAAGGCGTTAAGTATATAACTGATTTACATATGTATATAGAATACAACAACAACAACAACTTACCTTCAGCATGAAGCCGGTGAGCAGCCAGAGAAAAGCCATGAATATCATATACGCCATACTACGTATCTTCACGGGCATTATCTCCGATAGAACTATAATTGGAACTGTCAGTAGCCCTACAGCGGCCACCAACATCATGACCGAGAATCCAACGATGGGCACCCAACTAAAGGCTCCCGTCTCATAGCCCAGTAGTGTCAAGTAGCTATAAGTGCCCATGGCACACTGGCTTATACCAATGCCAGCCGCAGAGACGAGCATCAGCACTTTACGCCCCGCCCGCTCCACCAACAGTGTGGATATATATGTACCCAATATCTGAATTGTTCCTACAATTATGGCCGCCAAAGTGGGGGGCAGAGTCGACCCAGATTGCTGGAAAATAACACCTGTGTAGTTGAGCATTGCAAACGCGCCACAAATTTGATTTGTCGCTGCCAGTCCTATGCCAATCAGGAATGCTTTGCGTGCCTTGGGCTCAACTGTGAATTGCCATTATTTAAAGGTAATATGTAATTACAATTTACATCCAGAAGAGTTGAATTTAAACTTACGAAAATCGGCCAATGTAATAGCACTATTTACATTTGCATCGGCCTCCTCCCCTTTTTCCGGTGTCCGCAGTTGACGCAGCTCCAGTTTTAGTTCCTCGCTAAGTTCCTTGGAAACGCGCTTCTTAATATTACGATAATAGCGGAGAGCGTGTTCCGCCTCCTCCAACTTATTGCATTGCAATAAAAATTGCGGTGTCTCGGGCATGAATACGAAGCAAATGATGAACAGCAGAGGCAAAATGGACATCATCCAGGCAACTTGCTTGTAATTAAAGAAGTAGCCCATGGTGAATGCTGCAAGGACACCCAAGTTGCAGCCCAGTACGACAAATGTGCCTAAAATGCCACGCACTCTGTGCGTAAATAAAAAAAGAATGGTCAACTTTTATTATAAAGAACCTCGTTTATTAAAAATGAAATGAAGTTTTCGATAAGCTCAATTGAGAAAAAGCAGAACACATTGCAAGGGCTTGTTAATTAGTGGGTATACGTTTTGGGACATTTTATGGACCTGCCTACGGAAGTGCTCTCATAGCTTAACATCTGTAAGATGTCATGCTAGGTAGCAGGAAGTAATTTTAATATTAAAATTCACAAATACATATATTTATAATATTTTGAGCTTGAACTATTCTTTATACTTAAAGTGCATCTGAAATTGTATATCATTGCGATTATTGGCAACTCACCTGCTCTCCGCCAGCTCTACAACATAGATGGGAATGACGGCAAAGCAGCCACCACCGGCACTGCCGCCCAGAAACCGCGCCACACACAAATGTATGGGATTGCGTGCATAGGGTAGAATAAGCCAGCCGATCTATTGGATAGCTCTATTAAAATGATCCATTTCATGTTAACCTTTTATTTCTTGTTACCAGGGAAGGCAAAGCCATCAGCAGAAGCGCAGGCTTGCGGCCCAGTTTGTCCGCCAGCCTGGCAAATACTATTGTGCCAACAACACCACCCAGACAGAGTGTTGAGGAGACCCAGCCAGCATCACTGTTGCTCAGTGGACCACTTTCCAGAGGGCTGTTGTCGGCCTGCAACTCCAGAAAACTGGCCGATGGCCAACCACAAAAAGCGCCATACGAAACGGAGATAATGTTTGCTGAAATAAGAAATAAGCAGTACTCGTAGATATCTTTTCAATGCACATTACATTTCATTGTCATTGCTGATTCTCATTTACTATATATATACAATTTTTAAAATGGGAAATATTTGCTGTTAACAGAAAATATATGCTTTATTTAGGAAAATGAAAATCTTGTGATATGGGTTTCTTCTATTATATATGTGTAATGTCAGCTAAAATGAATTTCCATGCTGTCTGTTATAATGCTCAATACTAATATAGCATTTAGTTGAGCAAAGATAAGAGGCTAGGGCAGCTATTCTAGATGCAATCGGTGAGCTTTATCGCTACACAATATCAAAGACACATTATACAAGCTTTATAAACTTTACGCATTCATTGATTGAATGAAGCGATTGCCACATTGTAATGAATTTTTTACACTAACAACACTTTTGTGATTATTTTTAAAAGTCAGTTATGTTATTTAAAATACTGAATGGGTTAATTGGCTAATTTCTTGGTTCATTTATTTACCCCACGAAGAATCTGAAGCTTAAGTCTTGAAATTTGAAAATGGAGTAGCTGTAAATTAAACCCACAAATGGGTTAAAATAGTCAGCAAAATTTGCGTTCGCCACTTGCGAGGAATCTACTACATTATAAGCATCCTCTATTATAAATTTATTAAATTTGAACGTGTGCAAACAATCATATTCCTTTCTTAAATATGCAGTAAGTTAATCTGAGCTCTCTTTATGAATGGCACGTTATATTGGCACAGTGATTATGACGCCAGTACACACGGTACGCACACAATTACTTAATCATATGATATATCAGATTAAATATAGTATTTGCAAGAGATAAGCCACTTTTACGATTACTATCAATAAATGAATTATTTAAGCATTTCAGCCACTTTTACGAGTTCTATCACTAAATGATTTATTTCAAGATGACATTTATTAATCCTTGAAAAGCTAAAAAGATGTCGTCCTTTTTTGTTTTATACTCGTATTTGCAATCACGCATATATGATAGATTTATGAAATTTCATAATACTTGTACATAGAAAAGGCTTCTTTGTCTAATTTATCTCAGACATTGCATTGTTCGATTGTTCAATTTGTATTTTTTATTTAAAAACTTTGTAATTTTTTTAGGTATTTGCCAACTAACCACAAAACCCGGCCAGATATTGGTATTTAACACCACCTGAAGAGGCCATTTTAAGTGTGTTTGCTTTATAATTTACATAAATTAAATGGGTTTATCATTCAAAATTTTCGGCACTTTTGAAACACTGAACCGTTTGCCATTCCGTTTGTCGGACGCCCTGTGGTGAGTTGAGAAGCGTTTATTCCAGACTAACTAGGCACGCTTAGTGCATAATAATTTTATACATACTATGAGTATTTGTGTTTTATTAAAAATCCTATATAATAGCAGCAGATTGTAAATGCGAGCACAGCTGCTGTCGAACAAGCGGGTGGGGAGCAGAAGCTCTCATTTCAGCGTTATCAGTGGGAGCAATGCAAAGCTATAAACGATTTTCTAATTGTCATGGACTTGTTGTCAATGGGTTTTGTTGTTTTTAGCACTACTTTATTCTATTTAGTTACTTATTTTCCGGCTTCAGAGACTAATCTCCCCACCCGCCCACACAATCATAAGGAATAGAGGCAGACCATTGTTAGCCGGCGTGTTCCCTCTCCATATCATAAAACTCAGATCAAACAATGTGGATTATGAATAGGCTTACTCGCGAGATGTTTCATAAAAATAAACGAAAATACGGACAGGTACCCGTTGAGGATGCTCTCCGTTTGATTTACGATGCGCTTGACGGGCGTGCAGATATGGGGCGTCTATTTTCACAACCTCAGACGTAAGTACATACTTCTATATCTTGGCGGAATCTGTTTGCTTTGACGGAACAGCGAAAGTTAGGCGCATGGAGTGACTTTTTTTTATTTTTTATATGAATAAAAATAAAGGGCATGGTCAACTGTAGATATATGTAGATAAGAAAGTGCAATGACTGACAAATAAGTAGAGCAAAATATAATAGTGGAAGTGATAAATGATAATTAATAAATAAATAATGATGATAAATAGTCTCTGTAATTGAAAGTTCTACGGAAAATTAAATATAATGAAAATTTGCAATCATTTTTCTGCCAAAGGACCAACAAGTGTGTTCGAATGATCCAAGATGAACCAAAAATTGATTTATAACATAAATAACATTTCCTTTTTATCAATCTATGAATATTCATCACCCATCATGCAGTACAGCGATATGCCTCAAAAAATCTCAAAGGATTTCTTTTATTTATTATTATTGAAATGGAAACCCATGCCAACATGTCCAACACTCACTATAGCGTAGGGGCTGTAGTGTCGTTACACAATTATTCATAATTTGCCTTACGTCGCCGCGTTTTATGATCTCCAAGATTAGATTCGTATCTTTATTGCCTTGGATACAGAAGTAATTTCGACATACCAACATGGTCGCACTCGACGCTCCACATTAGACACGGTAGCTTTGTCTAGGCCAGTAATTCTAGATAAACCTCTTATCTATAAGAACTGAAGTTGTAAAAACGATCGACTACAGTGTCAAGGGCAGGTAGTGGGACGCCAAAGGCACTCAGGCAGGCGATAAATAGGCTATAGAAAATAATGTCCAGCCCGAGCTATTGCATACCTCCGTGAGTTAATGAAAATACGCGTTTGTGCATAAATAAAGTTTTACTAAACATAACTAAAGGTATTTAATGTGCTATGCAATGTGTCCATTGCTCTTCGATACGCCGCTTTTGTTCACATAGCCGAGCTGGCGCTGCACGGCCGAGGGACGACGATTACGGGTCTCCGGCAGCAAGGGCAGCGAAATAAGTGCCACGAATATGGAAGTACCAGCAAAGACCCAGAGATAGGGTAATAGGCCGGTTGTGGCGCCTTTCACAGCATTGAAGCCCTGCAAAAATATAAAACAGCATTAGCAGTTGTTCAACTTCACGTTCCTGGTACCAGAACTCACCTCAATCAAGCCAAAGAGCAGCAGCCAGGCAAAAGCCGATGTTATGGAATAAAGTACGTCATGCAGCTAAGAGTAGAGAACAAATAATTGAATCAATGCAAACAATCACATTAATGCTATTAATTTGAACACTTATCAAGTTCCATAACACCCAGATAATATGTTTTCTAAGCCGCACATTGTAGCTCTAACTATTTTAGTCGTAAGTATTTCATTCACTCTTCTCTACTATTTACACAACTTATCTGCCCTTGAAGTCGAACGCCTGAGTAAGCCTCAAATATTTTTTAGAATATAGTATGATGTTGTAATGTCTCTTCACTATCTTTCTTAAATCTGTTGTCAGTCTGCAGTTGTCCGTCAGAAAAGATTGCTTAAACAAGTCTCCCTGTTTTTACTTCATTTGAGTGCTTAAATGCTCTCCAAATACACCTACCTTAGCTGAGTCTCATAAAGTTGAAACTTCCAACAACAATTTCTGATATTCTTCATGAGTTTTGTAAAAATGTATCTTACCTTTGAGGGAAGCACTTCACCGCTGACAACAGCGGCTAATGGATAGAGGCCGAAGCTAACGAAAAGCAGTTGTGAGGCGAGCAGCAGAATGGGAATAAACTGCTCACACCATTCGCCCAGCATCCACTGGTGTCCATATTGCTTAAAGAGCGCCAAAGCAACGACTGATGTCGCGGCCAGGAAGGAAGACACACAAAGCAACAGCTACAGGAGAACGAGTAAAAGCATTTTAGAGCCGTTTCCCCACTTTAAAAGCCCAACTGGATGTACCTTTCTTGGCAGATTGGGTCCTATGACCAGCGCCAGAATGGCGCCTACCACAGAAGCCGCCGATAGGATCACATAGTTGAGTTCCGTGTGGAAGCCGGTACGGCCCAGAAAATCGGCCGCATAATTCAGCTCGACAAAAACGCCGCTCAACTTGGCGCAGACTGTCAGCAGCAGACTCACAAATACCAGACGTATTATATAGGTACGAGGCATTGGGGGCTCAATAAAGCCCTTACCCTCCATCCTCGCCTTAAGCTCGTTCAGCTCGATTAGATATTCCGGCTTATCGTGATCATCAATATCGCGAATTCCTCTATACCAGCGCAGAGACTTTTCCAAAAAGGGCACATCCCCCCGATGCAGATAATAGTTTGGACTCTCCTGCACAAACGGGAACGTCATGGAGAAGAAAAAGGAGAAGCCGCAGCCCACAATATTCACAAAGGCATGCGGCACATAGAAGCCCAACAAAAATCCCAACAAAATACCACCAGTCCGCCACAATTCAATGCTGAAAGTCAGCCGTGCCGCCCTCTCTTGCGAGTCCGAAATTTCGTAGATGAAGGTCGGCAGCACCACAAAGGCAGCACCCGCTGCCACTCCGGCGAACATGCGCGACGCATAGATGTGGATGATGTCGAAGGCAAAGTGGATGCAGGACCAGCCAGCCTGTAATATTCAAAATATACGTTGAATTAAGGTATATGGTTATACAAATATTTTCCAGATTAAAAATCTGGGTTTAAGATGCTTGCAGATTTGAAAATATTCCTTAACAAATTGGAAGTGTATAGAGAATCAATTGTCGTGCAGCCTCATCATTTGGATGATGATAACCGATTTCCTAAACCATTTAAAAGAGTGTCTTAGTTTCCAGTTGGATTGTTTCACTATATTAAAGCGTTGTCTAATAATCTTCTTTGACAAGAATATTTTCGTTTTAATTTAGATATTAAAAAGCAAGTTGGTTATAATTTAATTTAATTTCTCAAGTATTTAAACTACCTGGACTACTATCACATACCAATTGCAGGTATGGAAGCAGTTGATTGCATACTGATAAAGAATATGAAAATTTGTTTAGAATCTGTCATGATAATGTTTTAAACTGTTTTGTTTTGGCTTTATGCGTTATGCTTCACTTGATCCGCGGTCATGAGTCATTCTCGGAAATGTTTTGGAAAGCTGCATATAAAATGTCGACTTGTTTACTTCCTTTGTGTCTTATATCTCATTTGGCATTATACTTAAAGCATTATTGTATCAAAGCCACTCACGATTTGAAGCAGTCCGCTTAGTAACAGCACCGATTTGGGTCCAATTCGTATTGCCAAAAAGCCAGAGATCAGCGCACCAATCGCGGCGCTCAGAAAAAGGTATCCAGTTATCCAGGCAGTGCCTGAGGCATCTACGGCCTTAATTAGGGGAGTCTCCGTCTCTGATTCGTAGAGGGTCATGTGTGCTGGAGTTATGCCGAACATCAGGCCAAAGTTGAATGCCAGCTGATTAGCTAAAAATGATATGGATTAGACACAAATAGGGAGAAGATAAATATTGATTTTCGGATCGAACAAATCTATAGCTTACCAACAGCTGCAGCCACACTCTGTATAAAGGCGCCACTGGCGCGTTTCGGCAGGCAGCACATTTTGTCGGAGAGGAATGGGATGGAGCTGGATTTGAATGTCGTTCGTAGTACTTGTAGTCGTTAAGTCGTACACCTGCCGGCTGCTGCGTTGCAACCAATGTGAGAATCTTTTAATGGCTGCTGTGTACTATTTATGCCTGTTGGATATTGTTTCTTTTAGCTTGTTATCTGGGTTCGTGGCAACGCGATAAGAGCTTGCAAGGCAACCAGGTGGGAGACAGCGACTCGATCCGCCCGCAGCATGGTGCGCAATGTAATTGAACGACCCTGTATGCGTCTGTGTCTGGCCGGGGCATGCAAACTAGTTGACTTTATTATTATTATCAATACGTACACGTTATGCAGATATATATTTGCACAACGTGAGTCTACAAACGATGCTCTGATAAGATGTGTCTGTTGTCGTCGTCTGTTTAGCTACTGATTTAATGTTGAAGAGACAGAGACCTGAGTTTACATTCCAGTTACTGAAGAAAACAATTTGACAGCGGGAGGGTGGGCCAAGCAAATGCTGACAAAATATTAAAAACAATACATCGACACACTACAGCAATAGACAATCAATTAAAAGTAATTAAATGCAATTTAATTGAGACAAATGAAAAGTTTCACAACGTGGTACATTTCTGAACAAACTGTAGAGAATATGTAATGCACAATCGTTGTTGGGTAAGAAAAATGCCAACATTTAATTCCCATTACTTTAGTTATACACTTGTTAATAATTAAAATGCATAAACTAAAATTCTTATCGATAGGCTGTGAGCTCAAAAAATGTAACGGCTGCTCGATAAGCATCTGCGATCTCTAGCGGTTATGGGTAGGCAAGTAAAAAGGTGTGACCACATCAAATAAAATAAAAAACACTTCATCTATTAAAATTAAACAGTGTGGTCACACTTTCTTCAGTTCAGCAGCTGCTTTTGTCCCGCTTTTGCACAATTTAAAAAAAATATATAAATAACATGATTGATGAACAATGGTCCGATGAATTTGCTATGAATCAGGAAGTTTGGGAATCTAACGAGGCCAACGCCAGCAATAAAATGAACGCTTGGCGCAAACAGAAACTGCTCCTACAACATGCATTGCGGTAAATACACAACAAATATTTCACAACCATTTATTAATATTTATAGCCATATGCTTGAAAACGCGTAGAAATACAAAAAGAACAATATCTAACATATGTATATTTGTCAAGACAAACAAGTATAAGTAATTTAAAAGTTGTTAATAGCTTTAGTATTTGGCAAATTTCTGCGCGCGTGCGTAGCTACTTTGTTGTTGTTTTTCGAGACACCAAATCATTTTTATCCGTAGCGTTGAAAATACACTCGGACATATAAATTCCTTCACAACCATTAAGGAGTTCTGGTCTCCGTCCTACATTGGCAGCTTAAGAATACAAAGATTTTGATTTAATCCTTCCAGGAATCAAGATGATGCCATGCATTGCGCTGTGCTGGAGGACCATCACGATAAAATGGATCAAGCAGCTTGTACAGCAGCTTATTTCGAGGAACGCCTTGCAAATTGCCAAAATCTGTTGGCGCACAGTCGTCGATCTAGAAACGGAACCGAAAAACTAAGCATGCCAATGCAGTGGACTATTCCAGAGCCCAGTGTTTTTGAATCCAAATGCCGTGGCAAATATCAAAGCTGCCAGTATGATGAAATAACAAATGAGGAACTGCTTGAGATATCCCGCAATATTGTCACCGACAATAACTCATTTGAAAGTGAAAATCTGAGCACAAGCAGCACTTTCAAGAGCTCCTTTGGCTCTTCAAACGCTACAACTTCCCGTCAGCCATTAGCTGCGGTTGAAGCAGACTCTGAGTCCACAACTATTTTGACTCATTTCCGCACAGCACGCGAAGAACTTATATTGCAAGAGCTTCAGGTACGTAGACTATGGCACTTTTAATAATCGATTACTTAACTTGTGCGTTATAGAAAAGGAACCAAGGCAGTGGGAGCCAAGCGGATATGATAGACTTCAGAAAACGGACCCTGGGTCTAAGGCGCAATGTACGCGCGAATTTTGCGCCGCCAGTTGCGCGGGACAATGCGAAGGAAGGGTAAGTGTGCATGAATAATGAGTCCACTCAGCTTTAAATTTAAAACTCGATGGTTTTAAGAGCTCTGTTTTGTACTAATTTAATTGCTTAAACTACAAATTGCTTGTTAAAGCAATAAAAGTCAATCAATTACAACCCAGGCAATAGGACAGATTATTTTTTAATCATTTAATCTGAGGAATTCTTGAAGTTATTATTAAACTATTTCAAACTTATCTTTTAAATATGACTTTTCCAATTTAATTAATTTTATAAATTTTCCAACCCACAGCAGTCTTACATTAGATCAGTATGTAACAGTGAACAAACAAAACAGTGCTTCAGGAACTGCGGCCGCCGAAAAAAAGTTATCGTCATCCTCGCCCTCTTGTACACCGCCATCCATCGATCCGAAAATGGTGGAGCAAATTATGGGCGAAATCATGCACAAATACAAGCCAGTTGGTAAGTCTAGACACGCATTCAACGAAACGAAAATAAAATCATGTACTCTACTTAATATAATTGCAGATTGGGACGATATTGCCGGCTTGAAGTATGCAAAAGATACAATTAAGGAGGCAATTATTTTCCCATTGATACGCCCGGAAATATTCACGGGCTTAAGGCGCCCACCACGCGGTATTTTGCTGTTTGGCCCGCCGGGTACAGGCAAAACACTTATAGCCAAATGCATTGCCTCCCAGGCAAAGGCCACGTTCTTCAGCATCAATCCGTCCACATTGACATCCAAGTGGATTGGCGAAGGCGAAAAGCTGGTAAAGACAATGTTTGCTGTAGCAACCGAACATCAGCCTGCAGTAAGTATTGTCTATCATTATGTTGTTAGTTAAATTGCGTTGATTAATTAATTAATTGCTGCCTCTTCAGGTAATTTTCATGGATGAGGTTGATTCGCTGCTGTCGCAACGCTCTGATACGGAGCATGAGAGCTCGCGTCGGTTGAAGAACGAATTTTTCATACAGTTGGATGGCGCAGCCACCAACGAAGAAGATCGCATTGTGATTATTGGCGCCACCAACCGTCCACAGGAGCTCGATGAGGCAGTGCGTCGACGCTTTGTGCGGCGCCTCTATGTGCCCCTGCCAGAAATGGAGGCACGCAAGCAAATAATTGAAAAACTCATTCGAGAAGTGGATAACTGTTTAACACAGGGGCAGATCCAACACATAGCCGAGCTCACGGAGGGTTATTCTGGTGCCGATATTGACAGCTTATGCCGCGATGCGGCCCTGGAGCCTGTACGCAGCATTAGCAGCACACAAATGAACTCAATTAGCGCTGAACAAGTAGGTCGTATATGTTAATGCAAATGTAAAGCTTACCCATTAACTTAATGCTTCTCCCCATTAAAGCTGCGCGCTGTAACTATGGCCGACTTTAAAAATGCTCTGCAACATGTTTCGCCAAGCGTCTCTCCCAACGATATAGAACAGTATGTGACTTGGAATAAAACATACGGTGCCAGACCTTAATTACTGAGTAATAACAGGACCACAAATTAAATCAGGAACGCGCAATGAAGAATACTACATTATTCAAAACAGTATGTATTTTGCATTGAGATTAAATTGTTAACTTCGTCATTTTTATACAAACATGCTATCAATGCTATCACTCTAAAAATAAATGTGTGCAGTGTCTTTTTTGTTATTGTTATTACATGTTTCGCCTTAAACTTTACCATTTCCCCCCAAAACGGCAATACATACATATATCTAATCCAAAATTAAGTAATAAATATTCCAACACAAAAATTAAGTTTTATTGATGTATATACATATACGGATTTATTTTCATACAATTAAAATTTCACAATGGGCATGAACCCCAACTTTAGGTTTGATGCAACTCACGAAGTGTCAATATAATTGTATTTTAATTATTAAGCTTTTTTCGATTGAGAGCGAATATATTATCTTAGTTTGAAGGGGTATTTTTGTTTGCTGCAAAGAACTTTATAAGTGGAAGCAGCAGAAAAGAATTAACTTGTTGTTCTTTGTTTTTTATTGCTATGATTTGTAATTGTTAATTTAGAAATTATTTAAGCAACTGTTTGGCAGCCAATATCCTACTTAATCAACAATTTATTTAGTTCAACGCTTGTATGACTTGCATATTTGTTCTAGCACTTCCAAGCTGCCAAATGCATACTTTATAAAAGCATAACATAGGGCAAAATTATATAAAGAGTAGTTGATAATATACAAAGAGAACTTTCCTATGGAAAATATAATACATATACATATGCACATACCTATATGCACAAACATACAACATAACTTATTTAGATATAATGCACTTATTAGATAGAAGTTAAAAGTTAACAACATTAAAATCTCAATTATTCCCTAATTGGCGGAAAGACGTAATCATCACTCAGACTGTTGATGTCCACATACGTTGTCTTCGGACTTAAAACCTTATAGAGGGCATCGAATGTGGGCCTCTCCTCTGGGTCCTCCAGCCAACACTGCAGCATTATGGTATAGACTTGAGGCGTACAGATTTCTGGCCGCTCCAGTCGATTACCAGCCAAGAGATAGGGTATTAGCTCATTATTGCCCACCGTGGGATACGGTGAGGCACCCAATGTGCCTATTTCCCAGAGCACCACACCATAGGCCCAAACATCGCTCTTGCTGGAGTAAATGTTGTCGCATATAGCCTCGATGGAAAGCCAGCGCAGTGGAAGCTAGAATTATATGATTAAAAGGATTCCTTCAGTACCGCTTTATTGTTTTTCTCTTTAGTTACAATTTCCATTTAAATCCCTCATAACTGCAATTATCTACACTTACGGGTACTTAGGATTTTTGAGTTTATCATTTCAAGCAATTGCTTCGCTTTCATAATTGATTTGCATTTTATCCAGCTTTGACTATCAGGACAACAATTTATCTGTTAAAATAAGCTGGATATTCTGTTTTCTAGTCAAGTGAGGGGCAAATGTTGGGAATCGCTCAACTTATGGCATCTATTGAATAATGATTTACCAAGGAAATAGTTCAATTTGGTGCCTACCTTGCGCGTTCTTGTGTTCGTATAGATGCCGTGTCGCGAGAGCCCAAAATCTGATATCTTCAACGTCTTGTTGTTATCAATCAAAACATTGCGTGCTGCCAAGTCGCTGTCGGGGGAAAAATGCCAACAATCGTTCATTAATTTGGTCTGAAAAGGGAACAATGCAACATACCGATGCGTAATCTCCTGCTCCTCCAAAAATCGCATGCCATTCGCAATTTGCAATGCAAAATTGTGCAGCTCTCGATTATCCAATATGTACTCGAAAGGTTCCTCGTCCTCCATTACAGCGTAGGTAGCTAAAAATGTATGAAAATGCTGATTCGGCGACTACATACTTGTAAATATTTGGATATTCCGCTTACTTTCAGCGAAGGGGGACAGTGGCGGCTTCGGCTGCTGCGTACCATTTGGAATGGAGTGCGATTGCTCGCTGTCTGTGGTTTGTCCGGAGACCTTTAATTCGATATAATTTACGCTTTGGCCCAGCACATTGATTGGCTTGCCCGTGCTATCGTTTGCATTGTGTGTTTTAAACTTCACCGCCTCCTGGCGCACCGTACGCAAATAGTTCAACTAGCCCAACAAACCCCAAATCATTAACACACTTAGCTAATTGCTTTGCTCGGCTTACCAAATTTCCACGACCCACATACTCCATAACCATCAGATAGGGCGCACGGATGGTGCAACAGCCCAGGAAGCACACCACATTGTGGTGTGTGCCGACACCTTTGAGCATATCGATTTCGGATAGAAACTCCGCCACCTCGTCGGCTGTGGGATTATCTGATGGGTTAGAAAATATAAATACGTGTTCATTTGTTTCCGCCATTTCTGTTGCCTACTTTTCAGCTGCTTTACAGCCACAATCATGGTGCCTCGCATGCGTCGCATGTTAATTGCGGTGGCCTCGTGGACGCGTCCAAAGGCTCCTTCGCCGAGCACGCGTCCAATGTGAATGGATGAGTGCGGCACCTCGAATATGTCTGCCAGACCCAATGCTTGCGATTGCTGTAACCAATAAATAAATTAGTGATCGGTGATGCTAAAATGAGTGTATTTTTTAGAGTTTATAAAGCGAGCTTAGGCGCTTTGAAGTTTAACGACTCTGTCATTTTCTGAAATTAAAGTTTTAACGACTTAAATTAGCTCTCTAATGCCTATAGGCAATTTTTAGCTTTAAATTTAAGTTGTTCTTCAATTGAAACAAATACAACCTTAGTTCTATAACTACATAACATAAATTCACAAGTTTAAGCTCTGGACTTAATAAAAGCAATAAGTAAACAAGTAAATACCTCCACATATTTGTCGACATAATTGATGTTGTCCTCCATTCTGTAGGGAGAGAAAGAGAAGGAAAAAATGTCAATGTCTGGACTGGAAAAAGTGTTGAGAGCACCCACTCTATGGTCGATGCGGCAAAGGACTGCAAATGTATTTCCTCCTTTTGTAGCTGGGCTTTGTTTTTAACGCGTCGGCGGCGTTGCACGCACAGAATCAATAGGCCGGAGAATATGAAGATCATGAGCAGAATGGCCGCAATGATGAGCCCATTTGACTGCAAGTGAACAGAGAACCGATGGTTATAGACGCTGCTGACGCTATATAGTCCGATTGCTACTGAATATACGCACCAAATTGGTATCGTTGGTTAGTAAAACTGGATTGGCGGGTACTGTTAAGTAGACATGTAATTCGCGACATAATCGGCAGCAGTGTGTTGTGTTCAACTTACCCGCTACTCTGGTCACACTGCGCAGCCCCTCGCAGCCGGAAGCGTCAATGATGAGGGCCTGTAGATTGAGCGAAGCCTTCTCCTTCAGCTGCTTTCCCAAAGGTAGTTTTATGCTGCCCTCATAGCCCTTGGCCGTCGCCCTTAAACCCAACTCGTTCAAGTTGTAAAACCGACTCAGCAGCTGCTTGAGTTTGCCGCCCCAGGGCAGCGAAGGATTAGTTTCCTCGCTAACTCTGAAAGTTGTGGCATTTGGCTTACACTGGTATTGAGGCTTAATCGTCTTTTCAACTCACCTTATTTGCATTTTGTGCGTCCGGAGCGCCTCGATCTGTCCACCTGTTCGATTTTCCTGCTCGCTGCGCCATTGCTCGTTCGTGTGCACAGCAAAGGTTATGCTTAGGGTATCATTCCCCACCATCTTGGCCAGAGTTAGAACCTTGGGCGGTGCGGGGGCCAATTGGCAGCTGCACTCCCCCGACACACAGGCTGCAATTTGAAAATTAGCGTTAAAGGAGGCGTTTCCCAGCAACGGCAACATGTCACCTACGAGGTATGAGGACAAGTGTTGAACGCGACACCTTCGCATTCGATGTTTCCACCGTGAGCTTGTACTCGCATCCGAACATGTAGCTGCACTCCAGAGCATCCACATTCGAAATTGCGTTCACCGGCAGATACAAGAAACTCGAAGGCTTCGGTTTTCCGTACTCGCTGCACGGCGCCTCCGGACAACGTGTGCTATTCACCGCATTCACAATCACATTATATGTGGTGCCTGCGAAGGTATAATTTAATTGAAATGTAACAGGGACAGGTCCTTTATGTTGCTGCACAAACCTTTGGGCAGATTGTCCTGCCAGCGCACTTGCAGGCGCGGTATTTTTTTCATATACAACGTCACATTTGTGCTCAACTCTGTTATTTGTCCCATCAGATTGTGCTGAAAACAAATTAAAACCAACCATTTAGAAAAAACGCTTTTTTTAAAATTGCTTTTTAAATAGTTTGTGCTTTCAATTGTGACTCATGATTTTGCTTTGCGACTCGATTTTGGGTCTGTTATGACTCTACTACAATTATATAGAGGGCCAGGTCGCGGGTCAACTTTGGAGCAGAGTATTGTTATATTTCCAAAACATCCCAATTGGGCCATCAATTAATACTTACTAAGCCCTCTAAACATACTCAAGTTGATCAAAAAGAATAATGGAGCTTAGAAAATAATCCCTACTGAGCCCTTAAAACATACCCAAGTTGGTCAAAAAAGGGCGAAATCTATTTGAAAATGGAGTTTAGAAAATCGACTCAAACTTAAAACATCTTGAAGTTCAAAAGAATGCACTATTACTAAGATTGTATAGCCCTTACTCAATGTTTACAAAAGGATTTTTTTCTGATGCTTAGAAACCCTTGCTTTCTGCTGCTATGTTTTCCCAAATTCCTCGTCAAAGCGCTCCCAAAATGATGGAAAAGTAGACTTGTTTGTTTAAAGACACTCGCAAAAGTAGGCCCAACTGCCCTTAGTTGTGATTTCTACTTTTAATATAACTAAGGAAATAAAATACCGCATTTGAACAAAAATTTAAGCTTCAAATAAGCTTTTAATAAGTGACTGCAATTGCAAACTTTTACATTCAGCATCTAATTATTTTATGGCGCGTTGAGTTGGAAATCAAAGCCAATGTATTGTATTGTTACATATTTGTGGGTTTCAAATGTATTTCATTTAATGCGACGAATGCAGACTGTTATGTCGAAAGCTACTGAATCCTGACTACAACTCTTGCATTGTCCTGCACAGAACATAAAATTCCATCCTTCTTGCTAGTGTACATATTTATTTAAAATATGGCAGCTGTTGCATCGGAATTCGCAATCGTCTTATTTCTTATGCTCCTGCTTAATAAAGCCGCTAGAGAGCAACTGTCGAGTACATGGGAGTGCTGACTAAGTGCTGAGTTCCAACCTGTAAGCAGATTATTTTTGCAGCAGCTCCTCTACAGGAGTCTTATGCTTTTGCATAGGGACTCCATTACTTAAGAGTGTTCTTTGTTCAATGCAGAAGTCGTTGATATGATGCACATCCTTTGTACATGGACAACGTTGAGTGTTTGGTCGTATTGTGTAAAAAAACAGCTTCATTTCATTAAAGCAAACTTAAAGACAACTTTAACACTTTCAAAGCCGGATGCTTTTATTGCACTAAACACATTGTTTAGTAAGTGCGAGCATTATCCTAATCTAATTCTAATATAATTCTTCTGCAACTCAAATTAAGATTTCGCGTTTATCTCACCATTTCTGGCCACTATTTTAAAATCGTTTCCTGCTAGCATTAACGAAATTATTAATAACCCTTACCTTATAGGAAGTGCAATAATTTCTTGAATCTGGCTGCTTATTTCTTTCGATTACCAGCGATTATTTTGCAAAATTCACAAAACATACAATCCGATCTATGTTTTTCAAATAAAATATGGTTGTGTTTTTCCTTATCTAAAAATTAACAACTCTCTTTAATCTCCTAAGCAGTGTAATGAGCAAAATCTATATTCTTATTTAATTTTATTTCCTTGCCGTGCCGTGCCTCTAAAGTAATAAACTTTAATTAGCTGTCTCAAAACACAACTATGTATGATCGAAACTGAACAACTAAGTGGACAATATATTTTTGAAAACAAAACTCGATTGCACTCACATTGTTGTGGAATTGGCGATTCGTTGTTGTCAGCCCTGAAGTTGAAATTGATTTAATGTTGTTTGCGTTGAATGTTGTTTCCGTAGTCGGGAATTCGGACATTTTCACTTCCGCCTCGCCAGTCGCCGCCATCTCGTCCTTCGACATTGCCGACGAGAACATGCCACATATCAGAAGAGCGTTTATTAGACTGGACAGTAGCATTCTTTATCTTAGGCCTGCTCATGTCCGCAGCCTGGGTTTGTTTGCTGCAAAATTAGAAAGTCCAATTGAGTATAAAGTTCGTGCAGCTTATTTGCAATGCTTTAAATTCAAATGTAATAATTCTATCTCATTAACATTCAAGCTGCCAAATTAAAAGTTCAAAGACAGGCAAAGTGGCTGGAATGTGTCAAAAGGTGCGACAAAAGCCACACCGCGACATTTGATACGAGAGTAAACAATTTGTGTGTGTATGTGTCTGGGCCACTTATGAAAATTAATCAAAATTAATTAGTGTACAGTGGTCGAATGTGCCAATGCCCGACCACATTGAAACTGCATATACCTGCGGTCCGGCCACAGTTTACGGCGGATCAACGAATCAGAGTCAGATAAATTGGCAAATATTGCAGAATTTCTAGTTAGTTTACATTATTAAGCTTCGTAATACGGCTATCAAATACAGTAAGTATACTTTGAGTTGAAAACTTGAACTTATACTGAGGAAAGAAAACATAAATACCATAAGTCTTTTAGTTTCTCTAAAATGTAGATCTAATAGTGTATACTTTATCTGGAGTTGACATTTTTAAGTATACTTTGAGTTGAAAAGTTGAACTTATACAGAAGAAAGAAAACAAAAATACTATAATGTATGTATGAGTGCAGTTCGTTATGAAAGGTTTCTAGTTTCTCTAAAATGTAGAACCAATAGTGTATACATTATCTGGAATTGACATTTCAAGTCCCCTGCTCAAGCAAACAGAGAAGCTCTTTACACAATTTAATATTTCGTAGAGACCTTTGTTCCGTAATTTTTTGTCACATATACAGACTGTAGATTAAATAATCATCAAAAATTAGTATAAATCTATGCTCCAGTTTGATATCTGTAATCAATAACCCATTGCGGTAACCAGAAATCTATCTAATCGCCATAAAGTTTCCAATAATAAGTCGTAAAAGTATCATGCTATGTGAACTTGTTTTGGTTTTAAAGCTTTGTTATCAAATACGTATGTAAAGGGTGTTTATTATAAACCAACAGGTTTTCAAGGCTTACGACTGCGCAGCCCTTAGATTAACCGATTTTAATCTATTTTCGAAGAACAGACTCAGAAGAGCGAATTTAGTATAGTTGGTCAAACCATTTGGGGAACGATCTGTGTAAATACATTTTATATTGCGCATTGAATTCAAAATAAAACTTCTACCATTTGCAAATGTTTCTCGGGCGTAGATCTTTACCTGATGATTTGCCAAATAATTGTGTATATAACGAAGTAAGCGACACCCTATATTTGTATTATCTTCAAGCAAGATATCGCACACATAAAGTAAATAATAAGTAGCTAATTACTTAGCTAGCTACGACTATCGTATTGTTATGGTAGTTACTAGTAACTAACACCTTTGCTAGTCACCAGTAACTGTTTCTCTATTTACTAGTATTTTTAAATAGCTCATGCTATTCAAATCAGTTGATGTCAGTCTGTTGGATTGTAATATTCATTCGAGTTCAGCAGCAACTATAAGATCTGTCACTGACCGCCAAAAGATATAGTAGATTCTGTATTGCACTCCTGTGTAGTTGTTGTTTGTTTATGTTTCGTCTGCTCCACAAACTATTAATATTTTTAATTTGTTTTTGCCTAAACTAACAAAGTACTTGCTCATGTCGAGTTGTTTGGTCGCAACGTCACCAACACTTTGCTGGTAATTGCAACGAACTACTCTACTCTACTCTACTCTACTCTACTCTTTACCGAACACTCTCATCAAAGTCAAGGCGTTGAACAAAAACAAAACCCAAGTCGCGAGCACTTCGAGATAATTGTTGCAAAAACAAACGATAGGGTGACGAGTATTTGTTGATACTCGCATGTACGAGTAGATCAAGAACTTTGCACATATCATGCCATCACTGGGCGATAATAATAGTTTGGCTAATAGAAATTCCCGTTATTAGCAATAACAGTGAAGAGAAGCCGTGTTATGGCTATTGATTTTGCTTCGCTATGTCAATGAAATTTCCAAGAAAATTGGCTATAAACCAAACTGTAAAAGAAATGGCAGCTCAGCAGTTGAGCAACAATTAAATAATTTAATTTAATATACAGTGAATAGCAATTATAGGGTATTAGTATTTCTAGGGCTTCTCCCAAAAATAACTACACAGTACAATTATTCGTCCCACAGATTAATACAAGTATGTGAACAAACTGGCGATTTTCCATGTTGAAAGCTCAGCACTTTAATAACAACAAGTAAACATTATGCATATAAATATTTATGTATTTAAAGGAACTAAAATCCTAAAATAGAAATGAAAAATGTGATAAAGTCCAACACAAAGTGGAAATTACACAAACAAAACTATTTTATTTGTTCAGCTCTAAAGGATTTATGCTTCAATCTTCCAGCCATCTAATGCTCAAATAAATAAATTTCTGCAAAATGAGAATTGTGCGTGCCTGACATTTTTGTGAAATACATTTACTTGGGTTTTAATTCGTCACCTTAGCAACAGATAAGAGGGGTGAGACGCAAGTAATTATAGTAGTACGGCACTCCAAAATATAGTTACTGCTTTTATTTATTTGTGAGAAATGTCGTCATGGCTGCGATGATGAGTTCTATTTTCACCATTTGTCTGATTTACATGTAATGAACAAAATAGAAACAAACGTTTGAATATTAATTGTATGCATGAATAATGAAACGGACTTAAACCGCTTTTCGAAACGAAACGAAAAGAAGAAATAAGTACTGGTGTATTCGTGTGACTTTTAAATACCCTTCGGGGAATACTCTCAAAGAGAAATCTAACAGCGGGAGAAATATAGCAGGCACTAACGAGGTGTAAGGGGGAGGACAAATACCAAATGGGCAAGGCTTTAAAATTCGTAAATGTTCTTTATTTTGCCAACGAAAGAAAAAGCATTTTAAAGCTGAGCACCGCAGAGTTTTTAAAATGTTTCATATATACGTTTTCATTTATTGTAGTTGTTCTTCGAGTCTGACTAAAGATTACGCCTTTGTAGCTATAAAGTTGTGTGAACTTTGATGTTTGAATGGCATTTTATTCTGCAAACCAGAAACGTAAAGCCACAAAGTATGCTTTTCTAAATCTCACTTGTCAGCCATTTGCACAAAGCACTTATTTGCTGCTGATTTGAGTTCATCTGATATACATATACACATACACTTTAATTGTACCGTTTATATTTCAATAACTTAAATTAAACTAGCTATAAGTTTTAATGTAATTGCTTTCAATTGTTAGTTTCATTTGAAAGCATAGCTTGGTCCTCCAATTGGCCCAATTTATTTATGCAAACTATTCGTATTTGGATAAGGGAATTGATTCTTATTGCTTTGACATTGTTGTGCAGCTCACTAAATTGCGCGTTCGAATTTCCTGGCCGAGGAAAGTGTGTGCGCAGTATTGATAACTGATTGGTTTGACTTCACTGTGCTGGCCAGCTCAGTAAATTGCGCGTTCGAATTTCCTTCAGCAGACCGCAAGCATTTGCTATTCTAGTCTAGTTGCTATCGTTACTGTTTTAGTTGTTGTTGTTTTAGTTATTGTTGTTTTAGTTGTTGTTGTTTTAGTTGTTGTTGTTGTTGGTGAGTGAGCACGCGTCGGGCGCATTGACGAGTGCGCCGGCGACTGGATTACTGGCGCTTATAAATAATGATGCTAACAAAGCTAATTGTTGACATGACATTAACAGCAGCGAACACTCACAACACACACACACACACACACACACACACACACACACACTCACAACACTCGTGTGTTTGGGTGCCTTGTTGGCCCATAAATTAACCCATGTCGCCGCACTTTTATGGCATGTTGACGTTGGCTTGTTTTGGTTTAACGCTTACACTAGCCCGGCCCCCAACATCAGGCAACACCATACGCAGTATAAGGAGTAGGAAAATGCGTGCTGGTTTTTGTGTGAAGATTCACAGTGGGTGACGAGCACATTTTTATTTGTAGGTGCGTATTAGATAGATAGATTAGCAATTAGTTGGCATCAGTCTGGTACAGCGGTCGTCCTTTCGTCTCCTCCAGAAATATGCTCACATAGAACAAACAGAAGGCACAGACTGTGGCGCACAGCCACATGGTGGCAGCCAGGCCGACATAGTGCATCAGCAATGGGAACGCCTTCAGCGATGTGAAGGCAAAGCCGCTGAGACAGCCCAGACAGATGCTGGTGGCAATCGCTCGAATCTTTTGCGGCAGTATCTCCACCAGAACCACCATGGTGACGGACGTGATGCCCACGTTGGCCAGAAAAATAACAAAGGCCATAATGGTGACGGGCAGCCAGGCCGAGTATGCCGACAGATCTGCATCCGTTTCCTCCGCAAAGAAGGCGTAGGTGCCGAACGCTGCAGTGCTCAGTCCACAGCCCGCACACGATATTATGAGCAATATCTTGCGCCCATATCTGTCCACCAGATATATGGAGGCCAGTGTGCCGATTATCTGCACCACTCCAATAATGATGGTATTCGTGTTTGGGTCCAGCTGCGTGCGCACCGCTCCAAAAATATTCGACATGTAGTTAATGAATGCAAATGTGCCGCCAAAGGTGCCAGCTATCATGAGGACCAGTCCCGTAACTATGGCCTTAATGGCACGCTTGTTACCTAAAGGATTCCAAAGAATTAATAACTGTTGCAAGGCAAAGGAAAGGAAAGGCAAGACAGCTCATAACAAACTACCCTGAAAGTCAGTTGGAGAGTCAAATTAAAAAGTAAGCTTTTGGCACTCACGAAGCGTAAATTTCTTCTTATGTACAGTAAGTACTTCCTAAGAACTACTGCTAATAACAACTACGAACATTATGGAAGAGTTATGCATATTTTTTTGCAGAATGCTTTCCAAGACCTCACGAAATCACCAGAAGGGTTGTATTTCCAATGCCTCTTTAAATAATTAATTAATTTGAAATATTTGAATAGGTATGGTTGGTAGAAGTTAGGCATATAGTATGAGTTATCGGTTTCAATCTAGCAATAGGACACTAATCAATAATTTGGAATGTTTTTAGTTTTTTTAGACGCTTCAGTTATTCAGCTTTTCTGATTTTACGCTGAACAGTTGAAACGCTTGCTTTTACTCCGGCTTATTTGTTAATTTTGGCTGCTGACTTAGTCGAATTGGAAGCCATTCTAACAATTTTGCGTTCTGATTGTTCAGTTAGTGCTTTTTGTCCCTTGTTGCTTTATATGTCTGTCTCTAAAAACTGGAGTTTTTCTTTAACTTAAAACGTTAATCATATACTTGTGTTATTTCTATCAATGTCTCACATTTGTTGTAATTTTTTGTCGGACTTTTTAAGACTTTTTTGCTTGCCTTTCAGGTGTTTATATATTTATTGCCCTAAGAAGTGAATCAATTTTAGATTTCTTGTTAATAAAGCTCGAAAACTGTTACTCCACATACCAGTATTCCTCTCTATTTCACTGGCCGTACCACAAAAACAACAATCAGAAGTGCAACTTACAAATATCACTCATCCTGAGCGACGGGCTGTCTGAGTTTTTGGACTGCTGCATAATTGCCTCTCGCATTTCATCGAACTGCTTCTGGTAGGCCCGCTCCTGATCCTTCTGCTGCAGTTTTTCATCATAATTGCGATAGAATTTCAGCGAACTCTGCGCCTCCTCCACACGACCCCAGCGCAGCAATTGCTGCGGTGTTTCGGGGAAGCGTGTCGTTAACAGGGCATAGGTCAGTGGCAGCACAATAATGACACACGGTATGACATGATAGGGCACGTGTGCGGCTATAATGAATCCCACCAGGGTACCCGTATTGATGGTCAGCGTAAAGAATGAGCTCAGGCGACCACGCACACTGCAAAAAGTCACAGTTCAATGGGGCTGAACAATGGAAAACTAAAGAAACTAAACCGCTCACCTATTGCCGGCTATTTCGCCAATAAACGTGGGCAAAACCACAAAGGTGCCGCCACCGGTAATGCCCGCACAGACGCGTGCCACATACAACCATTCGATGGATTGTGCGAAATAAAACAAGATCCAAATGCACTGTAAGATTGCTTAAATAATTAGGTGGAGCACGAAAAGAAAACAAACATAATGCGAACGCTCGTTTTGCTAAACAAACGGGGAACACATCTGAAGAAACTTTCTAAAGCTTCAGGTATTACCTTTACTGTCTATTAAGACAGATAATTCGATTCAGCTCTAGAGATGAGAGATCATCAGCTGAGCTCCTTTGGAACTAGTGTTGAACTCTCTTTCTTTTTCATTTTTTAAACCATTGTTCACCACATCGAGCGTTCACTATTTGCTTTCATGTATGCTTCAACTAACCGTATTTGGCACTGCCAGTCCATAAAGTGATACTTTTCGCCCAAACCGACTCATCAGAAAGGAGAACAAAAAGTTTCCCGTCACACCGCCCAAACTTATTACGGCGCCCATCCAGGATGCCTCATTAACATCGATCTCGAAATTCAAAGGCGTTTTCTCTGGCGACAGCAGAATTGGCAACATCGGCGAAAACCAACCCAGGGCTATGCCATGGCACAATGTAATGAGAGTGGCTAAAAATAGAGCGATTCGACATCAAATGTGGCGTGTCAGAAGCAGTTCTTCAAAGACCCCCCACGCCCACACCCACACCCATTCCCATTCCCATTGTGTGCCTCACACAATGAGGGGCAGCTAACATTTAACCTCTCAGTCAATACGAGTATAATGAAAAAATCACTTCAGAAAACAAAAGTACAAGTTGCTGTTCTCGATTTAGCTTTGATTTAACGAGAGGTTGCGTTGTAACATAACTTTTCAATTTAATTTGATGGCCACTCGGGACCTTTTTCTTCAAAGCACTTAGTTCGCAGTGAGAGTAGCAAAAGCGAGAAATTCTGTTTTATCGTCATGTGTTGCATTTTAATTTAAGTGATTTGTAATCGTTAAAAAGTTCTCGATCCAAACGTACCACTTAATGTGACCCACAACTGTCGACGGTATTCTTTTAGGAATATGCCCGATCGCACTGTATTTATTAAAAAACTAGGAAACCTCATGTTGCAGCTTTTTATTATGCTATACGAGTATATATAGTATGTATATAGGACTAGGACACTGTATCACAGCAAATATCAAATATCAGTTGATTCCACAATTTCGAGTTCACTGTTTCTTCCTAAGTATTCAATGCCTGATATCCTGCTGCCATGCCGTTCATTCATATTCCACTTGGTAAAAATTTAAACTTTCGCGTCACTACCACTTTCTGAATGACTTGTGAAATCGTGGTTCAGCTCGTTTTATACCTCAAACGCTGCGCTATATCTCAACTCGTATCTAAATCTGTTGCGCAAATATATCTAACTCTCCACTAAAGCGGGTGTAACTGCTCCAAAGCTACACAAATTCTTTATGATGTTTATACAGAATAAATAAAACAGAATTACGCTCTTGGCTGCTATCATGGACGAACTAATGTTGCCAAATTATTGGATACTCTGTAATGTTTTCAGATTGATGAATTAATGTTTGCATAACTTTTTAAAAAGTGAAACCTTCGCCATTCGGACAAAAATTGTTCCATTTCAATTTATTTACTTTATTGCAGAATGATGAGTAAATGCAATTTAATTAAATGCATATTTTACAGATGAACTGTGCGCTCTCCACTGCCATTTTTTTTTTAATATTAGTTAAAAATAATTATTCTTCTAACTAATAATAATAATTTTATTAACTATCTCATAGTTGAGTCATCTAGAATCATCATCAATCAATTATTAGCTTTCCAATTATTCCTTCTCCAACTTTTCTTCAGTAATATCATCATACAAAGATTTGAAATTGAAGCCCACTTCTAGTAGAGCATTCCTTAGTTGGAAGCACCATTTTCTTCCTTCCATCTCGTTCAAGTTCATTGCTTCTTGACCTAGGTGAAAATTTCTATATACAAAAGTTTATACCTAACTGCACTTCCAAAGAAGTATATGGCAAGTGTCTTATCACTTCTAGCACTTACTGCATTCAGACAAACTTATCTAATGTTGTAAAAAGCTGCAAATAAATGAAAACGGAGACTCCCAGATGTAAGGAAATTAGCTGAGAATTATTATCTTAATGCTTTACTAACAACGTGCATATATTTTTAGAAAAACATAAAGAACGGAAATGGAATATGCATGCGTAGTAGAATTTCTATCAAAATTTCTGCCTCCCTTTGTTATATTAATAACTTTTCCTTCTGTTTTCTTAAATTATTTGCAGCTTCAGTTGCCTAAGAAATATATATGTAGTATAAATATAAATATAATTTATAATGGTAAGATGGGAAGATCGCATAAATAATGTAATATATGCAATATATTTTGTCAGCTGAAAATTCGTACCAGTCTAATATTCGTGCCATATCTTTATTGGACTCGCTTTTATAACTTAAAGCAAACAAAATGGCGCTTACGCAGTAATGGTAATTCTGAGTCAAAGTTTGGATTTCGCTATATGTTTTCGGAATGTTTTAAAAAAGGTATTTTATTTTTTCATTCATAAAACTTAATTTTAATGTTATTATTTACAACAACTTAAATTAAACTTATAGAAAAAAAAATACAGCCAGCTTAAACTAGGAGCTTAGTCTTATTTATCAAAAAAGATATGGAATTAAGTTGAAAATAGGGGCTGCATACTTTTAGGGTTGTTTGGTAAAACTTTATTTGGAAACACGCTTCGTTAATATTGATTTAAAATGTAGAATTGTGTTGTTTCTGAAAATGTTTGCCCAACATTTAAGATCGTTATTGGAAAATGAAATTCGATTCCAAAGCAGTTGATATGCTTCTACATGCAATAAATATGGCTATGATAATGCTCGAAGAGAAACCTAAAAATATTTGTGCAGACCCCTACATAGATTCACACTCCCCTTGATATTAACTTCAAATGCTCATTAATAATATAGTACATTATAGGCAATTCCTGGAAAAATACTCACTATTTCGTGTTGTACCTTAGTTCCCAGAGTGTTGCCAAGAAAATTTAAGGCTTTTGCAACTCTCCCGATTGTCAAATTTAAAACACAATCGTGTATATTAATTCTATTTGTATTCTTCGTATGCTTTTCAGATCATCACAAATATATTGAAAGTACAACGTTCTTTCTTTCTTTTTATCAATAGGTTTTACAGTACGTAATAATTATATACATATTAATCAGCCCCACCTCGCCTGATCAACAACTGTCGCCTAAAAGTTTCCCTTCCATCAAAATTCAGAAACTAGCAGCTTTATGTGCGATGTACGCATGCGACTTAATGTTGTGCGTGTGATGAAAAGTCCCTCGCAAAGTGCACTAAATATTTATGAAACCTCGAATTTATGTGCGGGCATTAGTGTGTATTAAGTAAAGCCAGTTGATAATTTAATAGTGAATGGTTGTGACGTTCTCTACGTTCGTCGGTCGCTGACAACTTGAGCTTGGACTGGGACCGGGGCTGGGAATGGCAATGGGACTGCGACTGGCTAGTAGGTAGACAGACGAGCTAAAGCGCCTGCTTGTCATAAATTTATGCTTATTGATATTTTTCTTCTTTTTTTTTGCTTTTGTTGCAGGTAGTTTTAATCAAATGATAATTTTCCGTAGTAGTCGCAAATTTGTTGCTACAGTATATTGGTCTCAAGAGACTGGCAGTAACTAGAAACATGACCAAACCCGAAAAGAAAAAAAACAGAAAACAAGCAAAAAGCTAACAACAGAAACGACTTTAAACTGTTATCTGTAGAGTATACTGCTCAATGCCGCCAATTTTTATGATATATGTATATTTGTGTAACGCGTCATTGGTTCGCAGCTCTTCTAATCGTTATCGGCGCTCGCATTCGATTTTTTGATAAGTTCAATTTGTATTCTATTTTATGCCAACTCAAACAAATTGTTTTGCTTTTCAAGATACACATGCCGCAAAGAGCGATGTGTGGGAATGTTGGCTCATATACCTACATGCAGACTCGTATATACATTCACTTCTATATGGATAATATCTATTTGGAGGAGGAGGAGGTGGGCGAGAGAAAACCTTCAAATTCGCTGTGCTAGTTCGTGGCATTAAAACGATGGGCGGTCGGATTGTAAAAATGTTTTATTTCATATAAACAATCGGAATAAAATGATATATTCCCATCTTTTCAATGCTATATATATGTATGTACAAGTACAAGTATGTATATACCACAATATCAATAAATGTAGTCGTTAATTTTGATCAAATATCGAAAGTCATTTCTAAATCTCATCGTATAGTGCGTGTAATTAAGTCATAATGGAGAGGCGCGACTAATGGTTAGTAACCATAACCAAGCATATCGGTATCCAGCGAAGCAGCTACTTAGTAACTATAATTGCTAGCTACTGGTAACTATCTAGTACTAGCTGCCCAATTAGCTAGCTAGTTTTTTGTGCCCAATTAATTGGTACTTAATATGAATTGGATTAATGATTGATGATTCAAAAAGTTATGCCAGATCTTAAAGATATGTCACATAAATAGCACATTTTCAAATAATTAGCAAACAAATTGAAATATTTAACTTTATATTAAAAATGAATAATGGTATTCAATATTTTGTGTAATAATAAACATTGAAATTTATTCTTCGATATGGAGTACAAAGTGCTTGCAACAACAGATTATTCAAATTGCTTAAGCTTAGCCTGCAATTTAATTCTTCACATCTAAAATGCAGTGTTCTGTGCCTAGGACTTAGATCTCAGTTTTGAGCTGATTAATTCATAAAAGGACTTTTTCTTTCTGCAGGCACTTTTGTTTTCTTAGCTTATCCCGCATGGATGTCCACTTAAAGGCATAGCTTATTGCTTTTTAAATTTATTAAACATTTTTGTAAATTTACGTTCAACCACAATTTGCTTATCATTTCAAACTTTACAAAAATTTGTTCAGCTTTTTCAGAGTTCATTTGAACTTCATTTTAAAAATACTTATTTTTTTAACTCTCATTGATCAAAAAAATGTTTACTTAAGCTATTTTTTTACAATACCGGATTTAAAACACTGTACTAATGTGAATAGTAAACAAGTTTTTGTTCAATGAAATCTCCAAAAGAAAAACAAGCAAAACTTTAAGCTTTTCCCATGCAAATCTTCACAGCAAGTGATTTCAATGAACAACATGTTTCTATATTTTTCACAATTTCATTTCAGGTATTTATTTGTGTTTTTCTGCATCATTTTCCACATTTCCGCAGCTCACAGAACCTTTGTGGTCGTTAGTGTTCGTTAGTTTGTCTGTTCGTATGTGTTCATGCATGTGTTCGTGCATGTGTGTATGTGTGGGTGTGTGCGTATACATCATTGTGATTAAGCCAGCTGCCATTTTATGTGCCTGTGCCCGCGTTCGCCAGCAAAGGTGTTGTTGCCTTGCACGACTCAATAGCAACTAAAATAATTGATGCGATAGCTATTAGCGTGCAAAATTACATCTGTCTGTGTGTGTGTGTGTGTGTGCGAGTGTGTTTATTTGAGATAGTAAACAAAACAAAGGCCTACTATATAGTATGACGTCTGGCCAACATCTGCGCATACCATTTCTGTTTTTATCACCATGAGCCGCCGCCACACGCAGAGATTGCAGAACGAGCCGGCAATTTTTCATCGTTGTGGTAAAGGAGAGTCGCATTTACGTTCAACTGGGCTCATTCTCATTTTATTTCATTCAGTTTGATCGTAAAGGAAATGGCGAATAAAGAAAACCGGAAGCCAAATAGTTAGCCAAAACAGCAAAAATAAACACAGAAAACACACACTGTTCTTAGGCGCTAATAAATTTCGCCATTTTATGCATTTTCCGGGAAACGTGTTGGGTAAATATATAGGAAAACGATAATAGTGTAGAAAAGGGAGGCAACATTGCAATATCTTTACTTAACAGTTAATCGAAATTCTATAATTTTCATTATCAGAATGGACTGCCAATCAAAACAGTAGCCATCTACCCATTAAAGACGTAAACAAAATATTATCAGCTACTCTTCTCATCTCTTCGCGTTCAACAGCTTTATTTGCGATGAATTCGTTAATAAGTCGATTGAAAACAATTGGTACAGAAGAATGTAAAAAAAAAAACAAAAGAGATTATGTTACAAACGAGCTTATGTAGGAGAGGGAAGAAAAGGAAACAACTAAGCTCATAAGACAAAAAAGCATTGTACTTTCGATTTCAGTAGAAGCCGCACAGATATGGAAGGGGAGGACAGCTTAGAGCGACCGCCTTCTCTGACACGGCCAATTAATGGCTGTAAAGCAAGCTTTATTAAACGATATCTCGGAGACATCTAAAATCGAGATTGTGATTGTGAAAATATAAAAGTTCTTTGGAAATACCGGGTGGTTGATAGGGAACCTACAGGTATAATATGCTTATAAAATGTTGGGGAATATTGTTCAGTGGGCTTACCTGTACTCGTCATGCTGACTAACAATTTATATGATTTATGGATTCGGAAATTCGGCCGTCTGGCTATTACATACACTGCACAAAGCTTATACCCTTCGGGTAGGGCGAATGCAAGAATCAAGTCAAGTAATGCCTTAGACTTGGCTTGGCTCGATCGATTCACCTAATTCTGTTATTCACACATACCATATATACATTCCAATATCAATTTTTTGTAAAATAAATTCCATTTGAATCATTTTTCTTAACGAATAAGGCGCGCTTTTATTAGGCCCCATATGGTATGTTTCTCTCTTGGGAATAGCGCGTGTAGAGGTTGATTAAATACGTCTGCTTAGTCATGTGTGTCAATATATACACTATACACGATTTCGCACATATTTATAGCAGGTATATACAACTATTTGGCATTTTGTTTGGCTTACAGCAACAATAAATAATAATAATGATTTAAAATGTGCAAAAAGTAAGGTGCAATGTGTTAATCATATTAGTATTTATAAATTATAGCACGATTTGTGTTTTAGTCTATGCCACCGGTTGGCAATGTCTGGAGGAGTGTAACTTTTTAAAAACCCATTTTTAGAGCAAGCAGCCTACCATTTATGATTCGCTTTTATTTTAATATGCAAGTAAAATAGTGTCTAAGAATGACAAATTAACTACCTAGCTTTGGAATAGACAATACATTTGTACTATGTCGACAAAAATCTGTAGTGAGGAAACAGTGAACAAACACCAATAAAATAAACTTGTCGTTCATATAAACGAGTATTAGAAGAGTCTACAAAGAGTATACAGATGCACAGAGTTCAGATCAAATCATCGTTTTATTTCAAATTCAATTAATTTCTAGGATTAGATGTGCTTCCATTACCCATTGAGTAAAAACTTTGAAATCAAAGCATTTATGTTCGTCTTGCTTCTATAAATTTGATGGCTAATAACAGATTAGGTTCTTCAGCTGAGCTCAAAGACTCTTTTTAAAAACCTAAGCTGTTAATACGTTTAATATATCGTTTCGCAGTGTAGCTTTAGCTTACAACCTGCTGCCAAATCTGTTATTTGTCTTTGAATAACCCTGATTCAAATGTGCGGACGCTGTTTATTTGTTGCTAGCTCCAATGCTGAGTATTTCTATAAATACACATAGGTATATAAGACTTTTAATCGAAGTAAAGTGCAAAAGACAGACACCAGCAGGCAAATACACACACACACACACACACACATGCACACACACACAATCATAGTCACACTCATGGCAGAGAAAGATGGCGTCGCTGCGCTTATCTGTAGTCTATTTTTCTAGCCCCTGCCTGTCACTTGAAGTGTCAAAATGTGCGCGAGAAATGAAACCCCCTTCGATTTTGAGTAGAGTGTGAATCGAAAAGTAACAAACAAAACCGAAAGCCAAGGCAGTGGAGAGTGCCGAGCCATTTATCGAATTGATAATCAAACGTTTTTATTGCACCCTGGATGAGTTTGCACCGTAGGCGCTGGTTCAAGGGTCTAAATGGCGATTACCTGTATTTTTGGAGGCACATGCTTTTAAATGGAAAAGCAAGTCAATTGAAAATTTATTGCGTACCTGCTCAAGGTGTACTTCGTACTACTTGAAATGGCGTGGGTTGGTGGTCATGAATCATTAGCGCGCGATTCCGTTGATATTGCAATTACGCCAATTAGCAGAGTTGTATTTTATTTTCCACTCTCACGCAGTTAATGAGCCTTAATCCTTTGCCCCCATAACACATACACTAGTTGGAGGCTTTTCCAGAAGCCTTTCTAATAATAGTCGTACATATACTCATTAGTCGGCTTTTCGAAGAATTTCTTACGCGTCGCAGATGTTTTCAAACACTGCAGTAATGGTTTTCGAACTTGTAAACAGTTTCTTGGCCCTCGATTTCTTCAAGTTATTCTCCTTCGAACACTTTGTACTGGTTGCTATCTAATCTCGAGTGATGTCTGCATCGGCAGTATGAAGGTGAAGTATGCACAGTGGTTAACTAGTCGATCAAGTAAAGTAACATTTCAGCCAAGGAAGGCAAACAAGTTCAAACAAAGAAGCCTTTATTGTGGCAAGAGCAAGCCCTAAGGCAGACAATGGGAATGCAAGCAGGACAATATAAATACAAGTATGTGCATGTTTTAATAAATATATGTGCAATTACTGCTGATAGAAGCTTGATTTATATTATTTATTTATTCGAATTGGCTTCAGAGTTAAATGTAATTAACAAACTTTGGCCGCAAATAGACAAAGACATACAGAAGACACTCGATAGCCATTCATTTTCATTGTACCTCAAAGAACTGTAAACTTTTTATTTCCATTGTATTTATTTCAGTAACTCGCCATGTTTTTCATGGGTATGAACCATGTTAATCGTTTGGTTGTTAAACAAACATAAATCAAACATCAATACAAATAAGTTATATTTGCGTTCAATAATAATCACTAATTGTTCGCATTATCAAGTTTTTTATAATCTAAAAAACACAAAACGAATAGAACGATTTAAATGATATTTGCTTTTTAAATCAATTTAAATTATTCACTGATTTTTTTGCATTTTATTAATTTATATTTAAAACACACTCAAATAAGACTGAATTAAGTGGAATTGTAAAATAATAATCCTTCTTAATTGAGAGCAGTTATTATTTACTCGGATTTTCATTGATTGTGATTGCAATAATACGGATATTATGGAGAGCAAACGCTAATTGGATATACATAATTATAGTTCGCAACAATAGAATTATTTCAATGAATTGCTTTTCAGTCGCATTGCGAGCTCAAAATTAACTCGCTTTAGCTCTTAAATACACTTCTTTTTACTCACCATTGAACTATTTACAGATGTCGACTCTGCGGTTTGGTCATAGCCCTCGACCAATATTGAAATGTGAGCGACAATATTGACACAGAAGTTGTAGTTGCAAAAAAGTTTGCTCTTTGTGTTGGATTAACAATTATGAGTAAGTATGTGCATTAACTTTTATTTGTTCTGCTAATACTTTTAGCTTTTGCTTTTAATGTTGACGCGTTAGAGCAAACACACTTATATGGTTGCATATTCGAAGCACATTTTCCAGATCTTGAAATAATTTCGGTTTTGTTTGGAATTTTATTCGGTTGTTTATTCACTTCTTTAACACTTTTTTTTAGATATCTGTGCATTCCAACTTGTGTGGTCGAAACTTTATTTCTGGTATTCCTTTTATCCAAAATGTGCACCGTGGGTGGGAATTTGCATTTATATTTCCCTTATTTCACTCGAAGGTGCTCGGTTGCCAGCAATTTTATTTATATATCTGCCTGCATCAATGAATGGGAATTTTTCAGGAAACACAGCTTTAATATGCACTCCCAAAAGACTTGAAATACATTTTCCACATTTCTTCACTTTCTTTTTAAAATCCATTTCGTAAATTTTTGAGGAACATTCTGCCCATCTTAAGCGCCGCTCCAGTAAACACTTTTCACATAATTTGTCACGCGTTTCAACTCGAATGCGAATCAAGACAGCATTTCCCAAAATAGAAAATCCGTATGGCCATAACGGCAGATCGAATCGCGCACGTTGAAGCAACAAGCGTTTGCGCCCAAATGATAACGCTGGTTGGCGCCATGTCGCGAAGGCAATTGAAAAGCTCGCCAGGAAAAGCTTTTTCGCAGGCAAAGAGACCGAATGGAGGGTTAAGAGTGTTCTCCACACTTTTGTTTACAAATTGTGTTCGAGTGTGTGTGTGCTTTCGGTCTACGTATGTGTGTGTGTGTGTGTGTGTGTGCTTTCGGTCTGAAGTGTTTGTTTTAATAATTATTAGCTTGTAAGAGTTATGCCCATTTTAACATTTAAGTTGTGTATTTTATAAATATATTTCAGAAGGTATATAATATATTAATATTTATATAATATATTAAATATTATATAATATATTAAATATCATATAATATATTAAATATCATATGTATTAAATATTCGTCCAACAACTTCAATATGCTATAACTTATTTAAATTCCTCAAAAAAAACATTTGTAGTTGTGCTTTCGATCTCGAGTGTTTTTTTTTATAATTATGGATTTTTAGAGCTATGCCCATCTATCTATCTATCTATCTATCTATCTATCTATCTATCTATCTATCTATCTATCTATCTATCTATCTATCTATCTATCTATCTATCTATCTATCTATCTATCTATCTATCTATCTATCTATCTATCTATCTATCTATCTATCTATCTATCTATCTATCTATCTATCTATCTATCTATCTATCTATCTATCTATCTATCTATCTATCTATCTATCTATCTATCTATCTATCTATCTATCTATCTATCTATCTATCTATCTATCTATCTATCTATCTATCTATCTATCTATCTATCTATCTATCTATCTATCTATCTATCTATCTATCTATCTATCTATCTATCTATCTATCTATCTATCAATCTATCTATCTATCTATTTATCCATCTATCTATCACCTTCCCCACCACAAACACAGATCAGTTAACTAATAATCACAATCGAATTAGGGAAAGTGGAGTTTCTGAAAAGCATACAGCTTTGAATTTGCACTCAAAATTGTTTTCAGATCGAGAATTAGCTAAATAGTTGAAGTTCATTTTATTTCACATATTCTAGGCTTACAAACTAGTAGTTAACAAATCGTTATAGAGAATATACAAAAATTCGTAGACGTTAAAGCTGCCACAAAATTACACGATCACCACACACATAAGTGAGAGTTTTCTTTTCTTTTTTCGTGAAGTTTTTCAAGTTTTCACAATGATGTTCACATATAAAGATCTTATAGACGTGGCCATTGGCTCGCCGGAGTCAGGTCACGTCAACTTCTATGCTCTGCACGTGTTGCTCTCGAACTTTGCGCAGAAACTGGACTGCCTGGACGAGGTTGTGGAGCAGGACGAGTATCTGGTGGCCAATGTGCGCATACAGAGTAGTCTGAGTAAGTGGAGTGCTGCGTCCTTTTGGATGAAAATGCAGCTGAACGATTACATTTCCTAGTTGGCAAGTCCTCGAAATATCGTCTGGAGGCGGGTGCAGATGCGGAGGAGGTTGCTGGTGAGGCTCCCAGCGAACCTGCAGCCGAGGAGGCGACAGCAGCCGACGAACATCCGCCTGCAGACGAATCGGCCCCCGAACCCGAGCCGGAACCGCATTCAGAAGCGCCGGAAGCACCAGAAGCGCCAGAAGCCCCGGATGTTGTGGAAGTGGAAGAACCGCCCAATGAGCCCAGCGCAGCTGCCTCTGTGGAGGCACATGATGCGCCAGCTAGTGGCACCAGCGCCCCGGGCAGTGCTGCGGTCAGCGCGGCACCCAGTGGGGCACCCAGTGGGGCACCCAGTGGTGCAGCCAGTGCTGCGGGCACTGCCGCGGGCAGCACTGCAAACACCGCTCAAGGCTCTACCCAGGGCTCGCCACGCACCAGCGGCGCCACCTCTCCCGCGGTAGTCTCGCACACTTCATCGCGCATGTCCATGCGTGAGGCAAAGCCTGAAGCATTGTTTGGCTCGCTGGCCAAGCTGGAGAAGCGCATTTCGAAGGTGGAGCTGCACAAGGAGCAGGCCTCCATCGAGCTCCAGCAGTTCATCAACAGCTTGACAGCGCAGATGAAACTGACGATGGAGCAACTCAACAATGTCACACATCTGATGCTCGATCCCGAGCCGAGTCCGGAGCGCGTACGCCTGCTCCGTCACTTTGCGCGTCAGCTGCGGGTGCTTATGCGTGCCGGCCTGGCGGATGAAGTGTCCATTAGCTGGACCAGTGACGAGGCCATTTGTGAGCAGGAAGGCGAAGAGGAGTCCGGGGAGGAGGAAGAGGAGCGCAGCCTCACGGAGGTGGGAAAGACAGAGGAGGACAAGACCATGGACCTGGAACCCAATCTGTGCTACTCACCCGATCGCATGCTCAGCGAGTTGCTGGAACTTAAGTCCGAGTTCTGTACCCTTAACAACAAGGTGAATGACTTGGCGGCTGCTTTGCTCAAACAGGATGCACAGCGTATGATGGAGATGATGGTGGAGCTGCAGGAGGCGGTGCGGGACATTCGACTGAGCAACAGCGGCAATCGGGAGGCCGCCGAGGCCATGCAAAACAAAGTGAACTCTGCGCTGCAGCAGCTGGACTCGCTCAAGAAATCGGTGCTGCTCTTGGATGAATCGAAAATCGACAAGCTGGAGGTGGAGCTGTTGCTGGCCGAGAAGGTGGACTTCCAGCAGCTGGCGACCAAGGTGTCGCTGGAACAGCTCGAGGACTACAAGACACGCCTCGAAAAGCAGTTCTGCGAACTGCGCTACATCATGAGCAGCAACGAGAAGAATGTGCTCCAAATAATTGACAATCTGCGCATGACTCTGGGCATTGATGCCCTCGAACTGGGTCTCAAGGACTTCCGCGATCTAATCGAGCGTCGTGTGGCCCTGATTGGCGATGCCCTGCAAAAGTACATGGATATGACGAACGATGATTGTGCGGCGGCCGCTGGCCGCGCCAAGGTCATTCAGAACCTCTCCTGCTTGTCCTGCGACACGCCCTGCGTGATGCGCACCGTCGAGCACGCCAAGGTGCCGAAGCTAGCCACAGCCAAGGGCTCCACGAGCATGGCGCCCCTGGTCACCTACGAGCTGGGCCAGCTCCGCAAATCGGGCATTATGGGCTACTATCGCAAGGACGAGTTCCCGCACTCCCTCAATGCCTGGGCCAAGGGCCCCAAGGTGGAGCTGAGCAACTGCGTAGGACGCCATGCAGGTGGCAAGCACACAATGCACACGGCCGAGGACCACGTCCAGAAAGTGGTGCAGTCCAAGAAGAACGACGGCTGGTTTTAAGGCCAACGGAATTCAATTTGCCCTTTAACCCCTCCACACCACACACACACACACAGCACAGACCTATTAAGTTTTCATTGAATGTAAGAATTCCACTAAATTGCTAAGATGCTAGACAGAAACAGATGAACAACAAATTTGAGTAATTCTTTGGGTAGCAACTGTGTGCTATTAATAAATCCAATTAAATGTAAGCGTTTTGAATGTTTTTTGCGCGGCGCCTAAAAGTATGCACTGATGTATACGCCAAGTCATGCTATGTTGTGACTCACTTGAAATTCAAACCGTTACAGCCATCGCACCCAAGACAGCAACCATTGTGGTACCCATTCAAGGTTCCTGTGTGGAAGCTATTGCAACTAGAGATGGAAAGTCATGAATTTGTCGAAAACTCGAACAAAAACAAAACTGCATTCGCTTTTTATTAATTAATGAAATGAAATTAATTGCAGCTTTGAATTCAATTTATTATTTATTTAATTAAATTGCATTAATTTTTTATTGTATTTCGATTTCTCTAATTATTTTTTAAAGTTATAAAATTGTTCTTTTATCGTGAACTACAGTACAGTGAACTCCAAGAAAACCTAACACTCACTCCTACAAGCTAAACGTATACCAATAGAACACGATTTGAAATTTAAAATAGAATCCCTAAAATAATGCAGCAAAATAAAATGGGATAGCAATTATCAAGTTTATTTAGAAAACTTTTAAGCATAATAAAAACCTGTATTCATTTGTATTTTTCATTGCACGTTTGATATATTTATATTATATGAAAAATGAAATGGGAAAGCAATTATCAAGTTTATTTAGAAAACTTCTAAGCATAATAAAAACTTATAGCCATTATTTTTCAGTCTACGTTTGATATATTTATATTATATGAAAAATGAAATGGGAAAAGCCAATTACCAAGTTTCTTCAGAAAACTTCTAAGCATAATAAAAACTTATAGCCATTATTTTTCAGTCTACGTTTGATATATTTATATATTATATGTAATGCAACTGCTGACATATTAGTGATCACCCTAATTATTATAAATAAATCTGCAGGCCATTTATTTTATAAAAAACCACATTTAGAAACTTGTGAAAATATTTTCTAAAATAAATGCCTTTTCATTTTATTATCATATTATCATTTCTTCAGAAATGGAAGCTTAAAAAATAAATGAAACATGTATAAAAGTATTATTACACATTACTGCATCGTGAGAGCTTGCTACATTGGCACTCACGCTGTCGTCTCTAGAGCGACGCTCCCCTCGCTCAACCACTTGCGCGCCAAGTTGCCGATAACTGCCGGCTGGCTGGCTGCCTAGCTGGCTAGCTGGCTGTCATGAGCGCTGAGAGTTTTCAGTTTCAGTTTCTCTTTGAACGTGCAGCCGAGTTGTTGTTCTGCGTGCGCCGCGCGGATCGCTCTGACCAAAATAAAATACCCAAACCAGCTTATTAGCCACTGTCGCGATTCCCGAACGAGTTCTCCATCAAAATATCGCGCATATAGTATCTTATAAATGTCCCTCGGAGGAAGTGCGTTGCGTGTGATTCTGTTGATGTGTTTGATTGAGCGATGATTTTGATAAAAATCCATTGAGCCTTTTTTATTTTCCCCTACTCCAATTGGAAGTTTATAATTTATAAACCCATTATTTGTCAATTGCGGTATCTGTGCGTTAGTGTGTGTGTGTGTGTTAAGCAAAAAAAATTCAGTTTCGACAAATTCAGCAAAACAGCCATAAGCCAACATTGATATGCATACATACATATATAATTATACACACATTTATGTATAATATTAAAATTCGAAACGCCGAGAGACAGAGACAGAGACGCGAAGAAGAACAAACAAAACAAAAGCGACGTCTAGATTCCCTCCACTTCTCCGTTGCTCGCTCCATATTCGGAATTTGCGGCTATTTCGGCATTTTCCTCACCTTCGCATCAACTCTGTTACCTGAGTTGTTGGTGTTGTTTTTATTACGATTGTGGTTGTTGTTGTTGTTGCCGCCGATTGCCGATTGCCATTGCAGCCGGCAATTTGTTTGAACTGTTTGCGACGCTTCTGAGCAAAACAAAAAGGCACAACTATGGCGATGCAGCGCGAGGTTGGAGTGCAGGATTTCGTCCTTCTCGACCAAGTCTCGTTGGAAAAGTTTATGGACAACTTGCGTAAGCGGTGAGTATCCTGTCAAGCCCCTCCCCCTCCCCATCACCATCCCCAGAGCAGTCGCCTGCTGTCGAGCTTTTATGCACACAGCATACTTATAGTATATAAGTTATATAATGCAAGCTGCCGCTGCTGCTGGTGTTGTTGTTGTTGTCGCTCTCGGTCTAGTTCAAGGCTGAAACCTTGCACATATGTACATATACATACATATGTATGTATGTATGTATGTATGTATGGCAAAAAGTTTGTAGCCTTGTTCGAGCTTTGGCATTGCTTGGCCAACTGGCTGCGGTTCTTGTTCTTGTGGTTTCTACTTTGTATCTCCGCTACTTGTCTGTTTTATTTAAAGCCGTCTTGATTTAATGGCCATTTCAATTAAGCCAAAACGCCTTAGCCAAACACTTAGCAATTGGTTCTACTTCAGAGCACGTGAGGCTGCACGAAATTTGCATACATTCGGGTACTTCAAGCGTTCCAATTCCTTGTAATTCTTTTCAATTCATTTCAACTTTAAAGTTAGATAAATGTCAAAACTGGAAGCATTTATTAATTAATTTATTCAATTGGGCTTCTTTATAAGCCATGCTCGCGTTAAATTAAGGCCTGAAAGCTGTTTCTGCGACAAATATTGGACAGCTGTTAAATGTTTAAAGTGTACTTGTCAATAGCAGCAAATAAGGTACATATGTAGCAAATATTTAATTAACAAATTCTACTTGTAGTCTTGGCCAAAACAGTACAAATAATTTGCACCTAAATTTGTCGAGTTTTAAAAGTATATCAACAATATGTTGCTAAACAATTAAAACTAAAAAGAATGCTATACTTAAGCTTAGTTTATTTCTGGAAGCATTGCTTTTAAAACACAATTGATTATTTGCATATCTGACTTTTACTTTAATGGAAAATTTAGTTTAAAATTTAGAAAAATATCCCTATTTTGTTAAATTTAAATGTAAGATAAATGTAGATGTAAATTAGAACAATCTATATAAATATTACTGTTTTTCAAAGGACACAAAATTGTTATACAACAAAATGCGATAATGTTAAGCCAAAAATTGATTATTTAATATCTTTTTTAAGCAATTTACTAAATGAATGAATTCTCTTAGATTTTAAGAGAAGTTGAGTTCCATTTCTGTGTGCCTTGTGCTTTCTATTATGGTTCCACGAGATTTAATATAAAGCACAAGTATGCATTATTTTTAGGGACAGAAATTCATTTTGTTTTAGTTGATTCTGGATTGCGCTAATTGGAAATGTAAGATTAATAAAAAAAAAAAAACATACATAATGGATCGAATATTCATCGTATAAACGTTGGCCAAATGAAGTTAAATCAAAAAAATTTCAATAAAACAATGAGTTGCATATCAATTGTTAAGAATTCTGAAAATGCAATTGCGCATTTTATTTCTTATTTCCACTCATCCATCGATTGAAGAATTAAAAGTGTTTTGAGGTTCGGTTTCCATTGTTATAAGCATTTCATTTGCATTAATGTTTCCAATTGAAATGAATCAGTTACGCTGTTTCTTTAGTAGTTCAATCGCTTTTTAGTTGACTGACTGACTAAAACCCAACATGGTACCACTGTGCAGCAATCGGCAGTCGAACGAATCAATTAACATTTGAAAAGACGTGCTAAAAAGCGCATTAGCATAAAAGTAAACCGATCCGTAAAGTGCCATATAATTGTGACAAACTCGAAACTATTTCGTGGCGCATTGATAACAACAAAAGCAAATACATAGTATACATAGAATGGTTTCGGTGCGACTTAATGATAATTATCTGGCACTCGATTATAGCAGACCCATCGAAGCATGCCAAGCGAACCAGACCGCACCAAAAACCAAAAAACCGAGTCGGAGCCGCAAGCGCGTTTGGACTCGCATTCGAAGCCACCAGGCATCGACACTGGCGACGCATGCAACAAGTTGTTGACACTATGCATAAATCACACACACATACACAAATAAATATGTAGCCATGTGTGGCATAAACATGTGTAATTGCCTTATTTTTAGGGTAAAGAACTCACACAAAATAAGTAAAATGTGGAAGGCAGACAGACGTTGGTGGGCAGTTAAATATTTAAAATTGTTCCCTTCTTATAAACAACTTAAGAGTCAATAATTACGGAATTAAGTAACACCATCATATGGCGAAAATCTTGTAACTCAACCCTCTTATGACTCTGGTATTGTGTATTTATTTATTTCATCAACAAACAAAGCGGTTGATGAATAAAAAATCAATACAATAGAGAATGAAAACTAAATAAAACTAAAGAATAAAAAGTGCTATAGATATTACAACAATATCTAATAACAAATTCGACTTGGAGGGAGGATTTTATTTAGAGACTTCACGAGACCTAAGAGCTTGACAGCATAGAAATACTAAGACTTAAAATAACGCTGGAGGTCGATAAATGAGATACAGAGTCTGGGAGAGGTTGCACACTTTCTGTCAAAATGACAAATGTCTTAAGAAGAAAGACTCTGAGAAGCAGAGCCGTAGATTCTGACTGTGGGAGTATCTCAACGAAAGCCGATTCTGCTGCTCACTCCAGAGGAGGCTTCCACTTCCACTCGTAACGCTGGACCCAAAAGTTCAGCAGCTTGTCACAAAAATGTTTCAATTTTGAAATCAGTGCAACAGACTATATCGATTTCAATCAATCTTTTTCATTCAATTCAATTCACTGTGCCGGCTATTTAGTAAAGCCCGACTGACACTTGCTGGCCCAAAAGTGTGTTGGCTGGCACTGCACGCCTTTAGTTGTAAATTGTAATCAGCTTACTTGTATGTCCAATGATAAGCTGCTGTCATAACTGATACGAGTATTGTTGGCGTATCAATTGCAAGTTGCATTCATAATTACAAAAACCCAATTAAATTGCATAATGAACGGCACGCAAGTGTTTCTATTGAAACAAAACTAAAACCTTACTTACTCAGCAAGAAAATGGCAAATAAAAGAGCCGGAAAAGCGCAAAGCAAATTGAATTGGTGCGGAAAAGCAAATAGGAGCGGGTCAGAGGGGAGAGCAGAAAACTAATACAGAAAAGGCTTCATAATGCAGCAAAAGCAGAGAGAGAAATAAAAAAATTAAATTAAATTTATAATGAAAATATGATCAGCTATACGTGTACTCAACAACAACAACAAAGCCAACTCAAATGAAACTCACTTTCGTTTTTCAAGCAGACGGCAGGCGGCAAACGGCAAAAAGGAAAAACTGCATTTTTGTATGACCACATTTTGTTTATTTCGCTTATTTAGCCGCATGACATCATCTGCCGTGCACTTGGCAGTGTAATAAACATAATAAAAAACAAAAAACAGAGGCTCTACAAAAAACAATAAACATTACAAATCCAAGTGGCAAGCGCCGCTTTTTTGGGACTGTCACTCATACACTTAGAGAAAATGCTTGTTAGCTTTACAAAATCTACAGTATTAAGAGTGCAATTTTATATTTAAGAACTTAATCTATGCCTTACGAAATGTGTTTATTTAGACATACAAAAAATTGCAACTCATGTATGGTTCTGTAATTAGAACGGGGCATTACCTAAATACTCCTGTACATTATTTAGCAAAAAGCATTTCGTATTAAGAACGGGGCATTACCTAAATTCTCCTGAACTTTATTTAGCAAAAATGTATTCAATAATCTTTTAAATTATTTGAAGAGTATCTGTTCTTAAGCGAAGCTCTTTTCAAATCAAAGCAGGCTCCACGCTCTAAGAAAGACTTCAGCCAGAACCAACCTTTTTACCAAATAAAGTAATAATTATGATATAAAGCTCCGAGTTGTGTTTTGAAGATTTCCAACTCATATAAACGACCTACAGAGTGCAATGACAATTTATTTCTGAAAATATTGCCATAAAATAATAAATTAAATTCGTATTCTTTAAACGTGGGTGCCATAAAGATTTAAAAATATATACATATAAAAAATGATATACTCTGGAATATATGGTCTGACGTACTCTCAGTACGCTGCAGGTTCCCGAACCCCACTTCCAACGCACAAGCAAAAATAGATTAGCGTTAAGTAGATTCGCAATAACAAATAAAAACAAACAACGCACAAATATGAGAATAAATGACCAGAAACATAAATTCAAAGCACAGAAGCAAAATAAATAATCAACTTGAAAAAATGTGCTTTTATGACGATCGCCACTTCCGTTTTTAATAAACTGGACCTCTTTTCTTTTCTTTTTCGCCCAAAAGAAAGGCAAATTTTTGGCATCCATTTTTTTCCAAGTGCATGAACTTCTTCTTCTGTGCATGTTAATATGTAAATTTTCCGTCACTTCTTTTATTTTTATATGGCCCGAAATAGCGTCGCAAAGTATGTGTCGGACAGCAGCGATGCGACAATAAATGTGTGTATATATGCTTATGGCATATGTATATACTATATGTTTATGATTTTCAAACTGCGAGTATCTCACAGATGAAACGGAAAGCCTGCGCATGCTGCAAAGTTTGACGCCAACACTCTCTGACGCTGTTTGTGACTCACGATCTCGGTCTTTGCAGCGTATATCTTGCGATTACTCCGCTACACACACAAATAATAACAAATGCCATCGCGTAGCCAAAAATAATATATACTATATAGAAGAAACTAAAATGAGCTTCACCGAAGCAGCTATACTCTGCCTAATTTGAAATAAATGTTGTTAAACAGGTCTGTTAGAGCCAGTTCTGTAAGTTGGAGAATGAACTATGAAATAACCAAAAACTAAAATAGAAAACTTTTTCCAGCAAGTTCTGCTCTAGAATCTATGTAGATTAGTCATTTGTCATCTCGTCTTGCTTTAGAGCCTACTGCTTCTTCTGATGATTTTAATTCTTAGATAATGGAGATAGTTCTTAAGTTTGCAGGGTGCTGGAAGAAAGACTGTTTTGATTTAAGGACAGTTTTTCTCAAGAGCAAATGCTGTTCAGTCATTTTTCGATATTTATCTCTTTGGATG